TCAAGAAATGTTGACGAGCAAGTCAGTGACTGATAAGAAGCTATTTTTTTTAAATAGTCTACGTAGAGTATTTGAATTATGAAAAATCTTTTTGCCGGATTAATTGAAGGCAATGTTTTTTCTCGCGTATGTATGTCCTAAAGGGATTCCTAGGCCTACAGTTATTCGGTTTTATTGATTTTTTTATATGTAACTTAGTTGACGCTCGTCTAAATTAAGATAGTTCGTTGAATCCAGAACAGCGTGTACTAGTGACCTTTTCCGACGGAAGTTACGTGTATAAATAGTTACCCTCATTTGAATTGGTTCGAATAAAATCAAAGATTAAAACATTTATTTTATACCAACAATAGTTTTATAAAATTAATTGTTAATAACATCAAAAAAAATACCAGAGAATTAACATAGAATCGTTAAAGTTGTCAGTATATTTCTATCTTCACTTCACGTTGAAAACTCACCACACGAGACTTTCTATAGAAAAAACACTTATCTTTGTTCTATCATGAATCAATCGATAATATTTTTTTTATTCTTCAAACTGTAGTAAAAACTAGATTGAGTTCATAAAAGTTGCAAGACATTGCAACGTCTGGAAAGTCGGTGCTCAACTTTCTGCACTCTATTTCTGTAGCGTTATACAAATATCTGCTTTCTATGATCAATGTTAACATTGTTTTATTTTATAACAAACATCCACCCATCCAAACTTTTGAATTTATAACATTAATAAGAACAAATTATAAATGAGAAAGTTTAGATGGATGTTTGTTAGAGTTTGTAGCCTAAACGGCTTAACGGATTACGATGAAATTAGGTACAGATGGAGATGAAAGTCTGGAAGAACATATAGGCTACTCAATTTTGTTTTTTTTTTAATTCCACACGGCCGGAGTCGAGAGCTAGTTTAATAATATATCCTTTGTAAGGCCACGTACCAATCAAAATTTCAATTTTTTGAAAAAGGATTTATAAATTTAAGAATTCTGCAAAAAGAACTGCAATCATCATTTGAAGTCATCATGAAGATGACTTAAAAATATATAGTAAAACACTCGAAATTTAATATCTACAAAAGCAGTTCACTTAAGAAAAAAGTTCACATACTATTTTCTACTAATTTTACATACGTTTAGTTATATGTTATCATCAGATGTAAGTCTGGCGTCCCTAAACGATGATTCATCTTACATAACGCGTTTATATATCTTTATGTCTTACAATATTTATTTGCACAATATTATAGACATTTGTGAATTCAGATGCATCATAAAAGTTGAATACAAAATAAATAAAATTATGTCACATGTGCCAAATTCTAAAACATCGACGTGATAAAAACATTTCAGAATAAGCAATTAAAATATCTTGCAACTAGTTATGGTTACAAAGCGTGGAGGTAACTAACAATAAAAAATATTAGTGTGAAGTAATATCACGATATATGTGCATATTAGCATAATTATAATGCTGATTATAATCATTTTGCACTTAATGACGTAAATAGATGAGTATCGAAAACCGCGGGAAGCACGGAACCGCGCACAGATAAGATATTACTAAAATTTATTCTGAGGCCATGGATTTCGCATATTTCACAACACGCTCGGGGCAAGGAATTACGTAATTTTGTTAAAATTAGAATAGACTACAATGTAACAACCGGGGACGCTGTCCCTTGCAGTAGGGCAGCGGGGCAGCCATAAATAAAAAACAAAAATTGCAAATAAATCACACAACGTAGTAATCGATACAATAAATAATAGTTTTAAATGTTTTTAACTAGAAAGAAGATAATACAATACTATGCTAGTAACCTTTCTCGGTTTATGGGGAACATGAAACATACTACCGTAAGCCGTGTTTTTGGTTAAATAAACTTTTGGTCTATTTAGTACGCAAGAGACATTTTAAAATGCAACGTCGGCACAATTATGTAGTTGACAGACGTGGGAGGTTCGTGATCCTCCACACGACCGGGGTCGCAGGAGTTCAAGTGCTGGCACCAAGTCGCCATCACGAACTGACTTATGCTAGTTATACACGAGGGACTGTGAATCAATGCTGTACAGTCCGGAACTTTTGTTTGGATTAGCAAACAGTTGGCGTGTACATTGGCAGTATCAGATACCCTGACTGTTTTGCCCTGGTGTGAAACTAGCATTACGGGCGTGGTACGACTTCCAAATGATACAGACACTAAGTTATCCGTACCTTAGCCTATATCGATACAGTAAATATGGCAACTGATGAAAATTACGTAAGCTAACTTAGTACATCATCAATTTGACTTCTGAAAAACAATGAGTTTATTTTGTGAAATATTTTTTTTTGCATGAAAACTCTTTGGTAATCAGATAGATTCATTTCCAACCAATATGAGTATATTAACAAGAAATTCGTCAAAAATATTATTGTATGTCTTGAGTGTTATAGAAACGTGTTCATGTGTAACATCTTCTATAGTACATACCTTTCCTTACCACAATTATTTGATTTGTATCCAGCTTCATAGGTATACCATGTTATGTCTACACACCACAATGTACGGGTTTAATCCCGTGCGTTTTAATACGTAACGTAATTACTAACACAATAAGTATGTTATGTAAACTATGAGATTAGATAATCATGTATTTATAAGATTAGTAGGTTCAAGGACTTAATTGTGCGACATATTGACGTAGGTAGGTTTTTTATTAAGGTCTCTTTACACACATCGGTGGACGCATCCCAAGTTGACATCTGTAAAAACGTTAGCATATGTAGAAGGGGTTACAAGTAGGCTATCTAATTTTTTTTTAATAAAACTTAACAAAAGATCTATTATTATATTCTCCGTGTTCCCAATCTTAGATGTAATGAATCGTAGCAACGAGAGACAGTCGGGCGAGCATCATTTAGGTCATTCACCCCGCAGACATTTCCCGATCGGAAACTCCGGAATGCTACTGCTTGCAACTTTGTGGTGGATCATTTTTCAAACCCCCCACCACCACATTCAATGTTAAACGTCCCCAGTGTGCATTAAATTTCTTTCCATATTAACATTTAGATTGTACAAAACTCGTATCCTATCGTAAGGTCCATAGCTTTTAAATTGAAGAAATTAACTGACATTTTTAACTATTGCTAATAACATAAATGCGAAAGTTTAGATGGATGTTTGATAGTGTTTGTAGCCTAAACTGCTGAATACATCTCGATGAAATTTGGTATAGATGTAAAGGATAGTCTGGTAGACCGCATAGGCTTTTTGCTTTTTTTTTTTTTAATTCCTCGCGAACGGTTTCGCGGGTGAAAACTAGTTATTCATTATTAGGTGGATCATGTTTTCGCGAACATTCTTAATTGAAAACGTCCAGAGGTAAGTAGTAACAGGCACACTATTATGTTAAACTTTATTAATAGTGTTAATAATCGAATTCGTATCAGATTTAGTAACTATAGCCTATAAGTTTAATAGGGCGTTGTAATTATTTTCAAGCTGTGAACACTTATAACGTAATATTTAATATGCTACTTTACAAATGGACGTCAAAATGTCGTAACGTTTGGACCGTTAGCCTTTTATTTAAAACCTATTGTCCGATGCACACAACCACGATGTTCTCAAGGCCCTCGAACACTCGACGTTTAATATTAGACTTATCTATTGTTTGAATGTGAGAAAGTATTTGTTCAGATATTAAAGCATATCAATACATTTAAGTGTAAGATTTGTGTAGAAATTAAATAAATATTATGATCAGTTTTACAACACGAAAAAATTGAAAATTTAAAGATTCCGGACCAATAATACCAGTACGTTGAGAATATCTAATTGAGCAATTTCAATTTATAAGAGAATTAAAAGTTGAATATCGATTGTGTTATTTTTGACACTTATGTAACTTATATTAGTCACTAAAATGAATATTAATATAAAAGAAATCGGTAAAAAACTCTAACTTCTCCTCAATAATATTTATTAAAAATATTATATTACTCTCGTCTTATAATTTAATAAAAAATAAGGAAGCAAAACCGCTATCAGAGGATGCGTTAACGTCTACAAAAACTTGATCAACACTCTTACATTATAAATTATATTCTATCTACAGCTTATAATAATTACATCCTATATAAAGTATTTAATTTTTTTTAATAAATAATCTATAATACAAACTACATTGTTCTAGTATTTTTAAGAAGACAAAGGAATCAAAAAATCTTTAACAAATTGTCGTAATTTGAATTATAAATTGTTTCAACATCAATACAATTAACATTGTAATATATTCTCATTATCATTTTTTGATATCACTGCAATATGCAGTCTTCTAAGAAACTGACAAGACAAGGTTGACAATTTCTTGATACAATATGAGCAAACGTTAACAAATTTTGAAATCGTTTAATGAGCTAAGAAGCTGATTGTTGTAAATCTTATCTGAATGTTATAAGAAGATATGTATTTTAATCGGTTGTACAAAAAAACATATCACATGTGACCTCATAAACGAAAGTTATGGACATCCTGTTTAGGTCGTAGTAAAAAGTGAGGTAAAGAACATTTTTAGCACAATGTTTTAGCTTGATTTTTTCCAACCAACGTCAAAAAATGTGTCAACGTTTTTTTATCTAATGATTTCTGCTTACAGGTTTTTAAAAATACGTTTTTTTTCTTCGATACTTAAATTGCAAATATAAACATTTTTTTAACATCCATCGGAAGAGTATACCAACAAAGTTTGAATGTAAAGCAATTGCATTAGTTCCACCTTTGTTGCAATGTTCATAATAATCAATCAAAGAGATATTTGCTACGCGATTATCAAACGGCGTGATGGTGCACAGCACTTTACACTAGTCTAAAATCAGTTCGCGGCTGAAACACACATCTACTACGAAAAACAAAAACCGGCTCCGCAATTATAAACCGTTTCAAAACGATAAGGTTTGCAACCTCTGCATTTATCGTAAAATAAAATAAATTTCAATTTTCTTTGTATGTTTAGTGGTACAATGTGATATACATTATAGTAAAACTATTATTCATTATAAAAACTGTGATAAAAGTGTTAAAAAAATGATCGAATTGGTAAAAGTGAAGGATAATTTACGTGTAAATGGGACTGTAAGGGATATTGGTGCGGAAACGTTTGTATGCAGGGTCCAATATCTGAACGATTTGGACCCATTTACAGAATACAATGTACGGGAACCAACAAGACCTTTGTATCATACGTTTAATACTACAATACCGCTGTCGTATCAAATTGCGGCCGTACATCGGTTACTACAAGCACCACATCGGGTAAGTTTTAACCCTTCTTTTTATTACAAATAAATTAGTAATATAGGAGTGTATGTATGCAATATCGGAAAAAAATTACATTTCGTAAACAATTAACTTCGGATTTTCGTTACTAATAACGAAATTTTTTTTTGTATATGAATTTTTTGTCTGTCTATTTATCTGTTTGTTCGCAAGCTACTTTTTATGGGTAAATTCAAAATAAACTTGAAAGTTTCGTACTCTAAACTCGGAATTCAATTTCGCTAATTTTACTAATATTAAAAATGCGAAAGTAGTTAGATGGATGTTAGAGTTTGTAGCATAAACTGCTAAACGGATCTCGATGAAATTTGGCATAGATGTACATAGTCTGGAAGAACACATAGGCTGCTTACTTTTAATTTTTAATTACCCGCATTCGGAGTCGCGGGCGAAAACTAGTACATTCATAAATTACAAAATACAATACAACTATTGAACTTTGAACAAATGCAAATGCAACCATTTCAGAATAATTGGTGGTAAACTTAATGCCACAAATTTGTTTTATCTTTAGTGTATCTTTAGTGAATAAAATTAACACTAAGGGAACGTTTGAGTAAGCAGTAAGTGATACTAATTGTGACAATAGTTTTCTATTTTTAACATCGTATCGAATACATTTATAATATTCATTATATGTAAATTAAGTACAGGTTTGTTTTTTGTTTTTTTTTTGCGAAAGAGTGAAATGTTTTTTATCTCTGGGTTTTAAATAGATTTAAAGGTTATCTTATTTTCGTTGCAAGACGTATAAAATGTTTACATATGTTTTATATACTTGTTTGTATATAATACTGCATTAATGTAGGTGTAAATAACGCGGCTAATGTAGCTTACTCACCGTGGCATTTGGCTAAAATTATCTGCGCCAAATATCTGTTATGAACACAGGTGAGCATTATCCATTTCTCTTACCGGGCTAAGAGAAATGTGCAATAGATATCTAATAATAGTTAGACCTTTTACACTATTAATAAAAATTGTTAGCTTTTTTAGGCAAAAGATGTCACCACTTGACTTGTACCTATATCATTATTATTTACAACGAGCTGTTGCCCGCGACTTAGTCCGCGTGGTATTAGAAAACATACGAACTATGTATATAAATAACAAAAAGCTACGTATCCCTCGGGAACCGGACACTTCGGGGATGAAGCTTATCCCATGTATACTCCAGACTTTGTTTTACATCTGTGCCAAATTTCAATAAGATATGTTGAACCGTTGCAGAATCATCGAGTAAACATTAAAAAAACTAAATTAATGAATCCCAGGGGAACTGTAACTTATCCCGGGATAAAAAGTAGCCTATGTGTTCTTCCAGACTATGCTCTAAACCTGTGCCAAATTTCATGGAGATCCGTTCAGCCGTTTAGGCTACAAGCGCTAAGAATCATCCATCCATCCATCTAAACTTTTGCATTTATAATATTAGTAAGAAGTAAGATTTTCTTGCCGTCTACTGAATGTTATCTAAACCCTACTTGGTATTAAACAAATATTTTAGTTCTAGCGGTCCAGTATTAGTCTATCCCGCCACAGCTAGCTACTTTATATAAAAAATCAATAATGCGTTCATTGCATCTGATAGTTTATCTTATCTCTGTCGTCATATTGTTTATACAGTGTTAACCAAACAAATGTTATTTTAAATCGACCGAGCTTGCCATTTGAAACACTAATGAAGATTAAGGTATACTGTTGTAAATAGTTAATCCATCTATATCTATCTTACTTCTTACTAATATTATAAATGCGATACTTATTTTAATATTATAAATGCGAAAGTTTAGATGGATGGATAGATAGATGGATGGATGGATGTTTGTTAGCGTTTGTAGGCTAAACGGCTGAACGGATCTCCATGAAATTTGGCACAGGTTTAGAGCATAGTCTGGAAGAACACATAGGCTACTTATTATCCCTGGAATAGTTACGGTTCCCATGGGATTCATTAATTTAGTTTTTTCATGTTTACTCGATCATTCTGCAACGGTTAAACATATCTTATTGAAATTTGGCACAGATATAAAACAAAGTCTGGAGTACACATGGGATAAGCTTCATCCCCGAGAAATGTTCGGTTCCCGAGGGATACGTAGCTTTTTGTAATTTTTATAGTTTGTATGTTTTCTAATACCACGCAGACGAAGTCGCGGGCAACAGCTCGTACTAATATAATAAAGCGTAAACACACACTACTTCGTGGCATGATATGTCAGCAATCACATCTTTCAGAATAATACTTTCTTTAATAAAAAGCCGACGACACGCTTTAGGCTCTATATTTTCAATTTATTAAACTTAGGGAGTAAATAAATTGGAAATATACCTTCATGTTGGAAAAGGACCTTAAACTACAAGCTACCAACATTAAGGAAGCAAAATTATTATGGTAACGGTAATTTTGACTTTTTCAATTGAGAATTTTACAAATGTAAACTATTAACTAGTGTACCCTTTACTGTGATTTTTACAAAAAATCAAAACTTTATTTTTATATATTTTCGTGCTCTTTTTTGTTTTCTCATTTGAATATTATCAGTCAACGGTAAAATGTAAACTGCCTAACATTATTATAAAATCGGTTGTAGGTGCCTAATGCATAACCTTGGTGTTCAATTTGAAACGGGTCGTAAATTGATCATAGATTCAGGGATAAATGAAAAAAAAAGTGATTTTTCAAAATAGTCTATTGTGTAAGAAAAGACTGATGTACCGATCACAAACAATAGACTACTTTCAGAGTTATAGATGGGGTAGGATTCTCTCTTTTTTCCCACACGGCGTAATCATATGCACAAATCGTTCAGGTTACAGGATGCAGATGGCCCGCTTTTGAGTCTAATGATATGCCTTAACGGAAGCATTTTTATAAATGAACATGCAAATAATATTAAAGACATAATAATTTCTTTGCAAACATGTCTTATAAAAATACTGTCATCGGTGTGTGTTTTTTTTTAGAGAGAGAGTTGGACTATATAACTTTATACATAAGTAAGTATTGCTCGCGACTTTGTCCACGTAAATTAAAAAAATTCTAGCCTATATCACTCAGTGATAGCGTAGGTTTTAATGGTGGATTTTTTTTTTAAATCGACCCGGTAGTTTTTGAGTTATTATACATACAAAAATACAAATCTTTCCTCTTTTAATATAAATGTGTTTCTAAGATACATCATAATGTTAAGCAATTAGGAACCTTTTCAGTACTTATAGTTGATGCCAGACATTATTGGGTTAGTCATTATTTTAAGTTTGTATGCGACCTCGTACTGTCATTGACTTGACGACCGTTTTTTCACATGAGATTAGTAATTTAAAAATCAGTCGTAACCTTTATTGGTACCGGAAATTAGTTTACGCACGCGAACTGAATGAATATTTGATAATTTAGACATTATTAAAAGTAATAATAGTAGTAAAGATTACTATTAATAAATCCTAGTTTAGATGATCTTTGCATACCTTCTGAAATATGAATACAATTAAAAAAGGTTTCTTTAAGATTTACATATTATTGTTAAACTACTATTTTAGCAATTAACTTGTTATGGAATATACTTATTTAGCGTTTATTTATAGTTGTTTCCGCGTAATTTTATAAACTATAAATAAAATAAGATTTTTTGAGAAGGTAAATCATTTGTTAGAGCGTATCTCAATAAGTGATTAATTATTTTTTTAACAGAAAAGCAACTTTAAAATCGACAGTCAAACATTTAAAAAGTCAACACACTTCTGTATTTAAGTGTATTGAAATAAGTTTTTTTATTACGTTCGTTGTGCTCGTACTTTGGGAAAACTTCAAGGTAATCATTTAGTCACAATTTTTTAGTTCCTCGCGGTTGAAGTCGCTGGAAAAAGCTAGTTACTAATATAAATTAAAAACAAGCAAGTATTTCCATATATAAAGACCATGTTTGTTTTCGTGTTGCTCATCGTGTTTCGATTGCCAAGACACTTGTATCGACACATTTGTTTTTCGACACATTTTAATAGTAACATTATAATGTTTATTTATCTTGAGATTTGGGAAGCTGCCTCATACATTCTATTTAAAACCTCGTATGTATTCACCTCACGTGAACGTGTACAAATTGTTAGCAGAAATGCACGTAAATACACTCGCTCCGAATAACTTCGATCCGCGAATTTAGTTTAAAATTGACTATTTTGTTTTTAATTAAATTCTTGTTCTACATAGACTCTCACTATCGAACTTTATACAAAAACATACTCCAATTTACGTTTTATGTGAGATTTTCAAATGGAACGGTAAATGTTTACCACACCTGTATTTTCTCACATATTACATTTTTATTTCAACATCCTAATTCTTTGTTGTGAATATGTTATCTGAAATCTTTAAATTCGAAACATAATTTTACATTATAAATAGTTAACAGCTATTGGAAACACTATTTCTAAACTTTGTTCCAGTTTCCCACAATACCCTTTGCCCAATAACTAGGATCTACGATGGCACAGTGCCAACACACACAGGTGCTTGTGTAAACATATGGAACATTAGTGATCACAACTGAGAACTTATTTTAAACATTACGCGTGTTTTTCAGAGTGAATTACAAAAAATAATTAGTTTGAACAAAACGACATTTCGGTTACCTTTTATCTAAAAACCCTGCAACTCAATAAGTAACATTAGATTTTCTCATTATTTCAATTAAACGAGAAATGTTGAATTAAAAAATTGTATGCATTTTCTATGCAATTGTATTTCAACTTGTATTTAGCGCCATCTACTTGTTAAACAATCACTCTAATGGAATAGAAATAGAATCATCTTAAATCCGTTGACCATTAGATGGCGCTTTTATACATTTTTATTCCGAAAAACTACCGCAATTATATTGAAAAAGTTTTGTAATTTACAACAGACTTTATTGTAAATATCATTTTGTTTTTTTTGCAGCTTGACGACGTTACTCTTCAGGTGTTTAAGGACGGCGACTATGGAGCATATCTCGATTTAGATTCGACACTCGGCGAACAAGATGAAGAACTCGAGGGACTTCAAGACAAGTAATTTTTTTTTCTTTGTATGTCATTACGCTTAATATCACACTCAAAATCGTTAATTAGTATGACTCTATAGTAAGGAGCGCCCTTAGTGACCTTTTTAATGTTTATTGGTAAAAGATATTCCACATAGAACAGTTTAGTTTGAGTATTTTTTGATACTTTTCTCACTTTTTCTGAGACATGTTTTATAAGATAAAATAAACGATAGTTAGAATAATGATAATTAGCTACAATATTTTAGCAATGTGATTCAAGGAGTACTGAATTTACTTGCAAGACTTTTTAATTTGACATGCATTGAGTAACAGTCAGTTCGAGGAATAATCGTATGACGTACCTACTTGTGATTTTGTAGATTCGATTATCATGATTTTTCGAATTGATTAATACTTTTGTAATATCGAGAGTCAATCTTAATATGCAATACTTTGACGTAACGAATATATGATATAGATTTATATTAAAAAAGTATTAACTGCCCGTAATAAAATAAACTAGGTATATAAAACTTAGACATTTGAGGTTGTTTTTTTTTTATAATAATAAAGATTCTTTTTTGTATAATCATTGATTACAGGATCAATATCGCTTTGGCTCCTTAACTAGGAAATCCTGTGTCAATTCAATGCCTTCCCTTTCACGTAAATTTAACAACAAAAAGAATATTAGATTAAGTAGAAAAAAAACTCTCGTTGATTCAAAGAAAATTAGAGCCTTCGCCCCAACTAGGGGGGAACCAGAGACCGGGATAGTGCCGCCTATTATCAATATTTTTTTAGATATTACGACAAAGAAAATCCACGATGAATATTTAAACGTTCCAGTAGATTTTAGATTTATAGCTATAAGTCCACGATCTAGGCTAGGTGTAGTAGGGCCACCATCATTGTGATCTCATTAGTAGTTATCGGCATATCTATTTTACATTTGTGTAGCTTCAAGGGGGGGCAGATGACCTCTACCTCCCCCTACTTCAGCGATTCCCATGTGCATATGTACATGTAACATTAGGAGGACATGTTAAGGGATCCCCAGCAATTGTAACCATCCTGCTATTATGTCGTTACGTCGATACTTTATACGCACTCCATATATTTCTATGCAAACTTTATAACATACTAGCTTCGGCCCGCGACTCCAACCGCGCGAAATTTAAATAAAAAAACAAAAGTGAGTAGCCTATGTGTTCTTCTGGACTATACTATAACATCTATTCCAAATCTTATCGAGATCAATAGTCTAAGAAACATCCATCCATCTAAGCTTTTAAATTTATAATATTAGGAAGATTATTAATATTGGACGAATATTTAGGCATAAATTTGAACTGTAAAGAGAACCATAGTTAAACATAGTCTCCTAGGCAAAAAAGGCATCCAAGGATGAACCAAAGATCGTCGCTACTTCATCCTTCTGGTATTTACGATTAAATTGAGTTTATACATGAGTTAATAAATAATACTGCCTTATTATACAAAATATCTTTTAGGAAAAATGTCTAAATTAAGAAACAAAACTGTCCACATTGAGTGAAATATGTGGCTACACACGTATATTTATTATGATTGACAGACGTGTTTGTGTTGGGGAGTTTAGAGGTCGGGGCCGGCGCAATAGACTGCACACTTACATATACCAATACCAATATGCACATATCTTTTATATTCCGATTTTGATTCTGTTTTTTTATTCGCACATCTAGATTACATTCTAATAAACTAAATAGTTACTATATAAATATTTTCATTCCTTTCATCATAAGCTTAGCACACGTCACAATTGAGGGTTTCAGAACACACGGCAAGATGGCCTAGTAAGGGTTGGTTGAATTCAAACTTTTGAATCGCCGATACGTGCAAATTGAATCACGTTTTCCTACACCGTAAGAACACATAAAAACTTTAAAAACACATTGGTGTATGTCGGGATTCGAACACAGGACCTGTAAATTATAAATCAATTCACCTCTGAACCACCGACGCTTTTTCTTTACCTGATTCTAAATATGTAAAAAATACAAAGAATAAAACTTCGTCTATGGTTATCGTCGTCGTTCTATTTGCAATTTTAACCAAAATAGTTCGATGACCGAATCTACTTAATGTATTTATTTAGATTATTTCTACACATCTAACCGGGTAAATTTGAATTGGGCTAAAATATATACACAGTGAAACATTTTAGTCTAATTCTCCTTATACGTGCCCGAAACATAAAGATTATCTCAGTTACAACAATAAGCGGTATTTCCTTAATTTTTATTAATAAAATCATACGGTATTAATATTAAATCCAGCTGTTGTACATTCTCGAAAGACGTTACTCTATATTTATGAAAAAAGTTTTGTTTTACTTTCACAATTATTTAAACACTAGCTGTTGCTCGCGACTTTGCCCGCGTAAAAAATAAAAAAAAAACAGTTAATATTAGTCTATGTTACTCACATAAATTACCTTCCTAATGGTGAAAGAATTATTGAAATCGGCCCATTAGTTTTTATGTGAATCGAATACATGCAAAAATCCAAAAAACACACTTTCCTCTTTACAATATTAATATAGATTAACATTACTTATCCAGTATCAATAATAATTTTGGGATTTGAATTACGACCATCTGATTATCCATAAAACAGTAAACATGTAAGAACATTGGATATTTGACTACGACATAGTCCCTGAGAAAAATAGGTTACATTTTGTATGAATAATTCGACAGTGGAAATCTACAGTGAGATTTCACAATTACAAAACGACAAGCTACATCAATAGTAAGAAATAATCAAAACATTTTCATTTCTCCAATGGCGTGGAAAGTATAGAAAACTATACTATTATCAAGCGAAACCGTGAGTGTTCGTCATCCGTAGTTTTTTCCCATCTATTTACAATCAGTTAAATGTCTTGCAAAAAAGCAAGCGATATTCATAGAATTTAGTACCGCTATAGAACAAAACATATCGACGAATTGAGTACCTCCTTCTTTTGGGAAGTCGGTCAAAAAACAGACAAGATGAAATTATTTTACATTTTTAGACTAGGCTATTCTATTAGCTGTCATTTTTCTTACAAAGGGACTGCACACTACTTCCATCTATTATTTTTTATTAGCTGTCTTTTTTTAATTAATTTCCGTATGCACTAACCTAGATTTCATAATCTTACTATCATACTTCATATTAATATTATAAATGCGAATGTTTAGATGGGTAGATGGGTGTTTGTTAGAGTTTGTAGCCTAAACGGCTAAATGGATTTAGATGAAATTTGGCATAGATATGAGGATAGCCTGGAAGAACGCATAGGGTAATCACTTTTATTTTTTTCAATTCCAAGCGGACGGAATCGCTGGCGAAAGCTAGTTAACAAAAACATTTAGTCCTAATCCCCGAGAAACTTGTGTTGTTACGAAAAATTGTGAAACACGAAAACCTTTTATTAATGTAATTATTAACTGAAATTTTCAATTCGAACCTTGGTTTCGATTTAGGAATAGATTCGGAACTGAATAATTCATGCGTTTCGATAGGTAAGCAAGAAAAGTCGTTCGATGCTTACAGAAGCGCAGTTCGAAATCAAACGCGATACGATGTGCAAGTAACTTAGTGATCGAGACAAGTGTGAAAATTTTTTTTTATTTTTTTTTTTGTAATAATTGCCTGTTAGATATCTAGTTAATTAGACGTGTGGGTGATTAAAAATAAACAATGTCTGAAGAAGAATATTCTTCAGATGAATTTGACCATTTAACTTAGTAAGTGTAAATACGTTTATTCCAATTTTAGATCTATTTACAATAAAATTATTTAATTAATTTAAGTCTAAATAAGCTAAAATTACATCTCATGATATCGAGAATAATAAAAAGATGGTTTCTAAAATTTTAAGCATCTTCAACAAAAATACGTCAATTTATTTTTCTTTCGCAATAAGTTCGGATTTTAACAAATTATTTTAAATCAAAACATTCTTTCTACAGCTAACTACTTTGGAGCTGTCAAATATTACAAAATAAATCATCACGTATCCACAACTTCTCCAACCGCCAAATCTTTAATTCAACAACAATTAAAGTTAAAGTCTCCAATGAATATTTACTTAATTCGGTACTTTTGGACTTTTAATTTTACTTCATTATTAATTTTAGCACCTAACAATCTGATAAAAAACGCGATTTTATTACTTTTCAGCCGCAAGAATTCACTCGTGTTGCGGACTCAACTCTCAGTGCGCGTACATGGCATCATTGGTAATTTTTTTTTTATTAATACTTATCATATAAAAAATTCATATAAGGTATTATATTAGAAAGAGGCTATGCAACAAGAGGGTTCTGCAATTTAAAAATAAGTGCGTTTTTGTGTAACAGCTTTTTCTTAAATTATAATCGTCATCCCCGGTACCAATAAGACAGGGTTCCACGATCTCTATAGGTTGCATCGGAAACATAGGTGTTTTATAATCTTCCCTGAACCCGTTTAAGGGTTTGACCAATTTAGAAAACAACTCTGTCTCCACTTTACCAATTGATTGTATACATTGTAACGTTTCAGATACACTACTGCGCTCCCAAGGTAGGGAGCTCAGGAGAGCTCTCTTCACACTCAAGCAGATCCTGCAATCGGACAAAGATCTCGTACATGAATTTGTCGCGAACAAGGGCTTGGACTGTCTTATGCAAGTGGCTAACAAAGCTGATCACAACTATCTGGATTATATCCTAAGAGCCCTTGGTCAGGTTAGTATTAATATTGTAATCGCTGATAGTGTGATGTTTTTATACTTTGACTATCGTATTAAAAATTAATAATTGTATTTCAGATCCTTTTGTATGTTGATGGCATGCACGGGGTCATGATACACAAGCGATGCATTCAGTGGCTGTATTCATTAATAGAGAGCAAATATAGGCACGTTGTAAAAATATCGCTTAAACTTCTATTAGTTTTTGTTGAATACGTCGATAAAAACTGTTTGCTCCTCATCGACGCTATTAACGTCGTCGATGGCACCAATGGCAGGCAGCCGTGGTATAACGTGATGAAAATTCTTCAAGACATCGATGCATCTGATACCGAATTACTTATATATGCAACTACATTAATAAATGTTTGTCTAAACAATATACCAGACAGAGATACGTATTATGATCAAGTGGATACCTTACAAGACCAAGGAATAGATGAAATTATCCAGTTGTACATGACAAAACAAGGCACAGATTTAGATCTATTAAGACAATTACAAATATTCGAAGCTGTACTTCTCTATGAAGACGGCGACGAAACAGGAACAGCGCTAAAGTAAGTGGAACCTAATGTTGTTTTCGTCTAATAATGTTTTTTATAATTCTGTCACCGTCCTTAATTTCTTGTTATTTATAGGCAACTTGATGACTCGGTCATAATGTCATTGGGTCGAAGGAGTCTAAATTTAAATACGACCGATAGACGAAAATCAAAGAAGCAACAAGCGAAGGAAAAAGGTTTGAAAAGTATTATTTTAAAGCTTGTAAGAGGAATTACATTTTAAAAGCTTTTGCATTTTTTCCTTAATATGTTAACAGTAACTTAATGCATTGTGTGTATAGTCATCGCATAAAAAAATATTAAGATTTTAAAGTTAATTGTGTTTTTTTACTACTTCACTAACTTTCAACAGCTAAACTGCCTATCATCCATCATACGGATTCTGACATACAATCAAACAGTAACCTTCGCACATCATACTCACCAACAATAAACGATAACAAAGAAAACAAGGAACTGACACCAGCTTGGAAAAGAAGAAAAGATAGATTTGCTAGACAAGCACATCATATAATACAGCAACAAGAAATGTTAAACAACTCCAGTGATGTTTACAATGGCCTGTTTGGTAATATCAACGGAGACCGCAAACGTACCAGTACCGCTTACTCAGATACCAATGGAGAATTTCCATCTTCCCCTACTTACGCTGAAGAGAGTTATTCCAAAATCAATGGTAGTTTAAACGGCCAACTGCAGTATGCCAGCAACGGAATCAGTAGTCCATTAGAAGATGAAAAGACATTCGAAAGCAGACTGCCAAAAACCAACTACCTACCAGATGTGTTGAAAAACGGTCTGTTGATTAACTAACCTACTAATTGATTTTGGATTGCATGGTTCAGTGCTCGATATAGATCATGATTGAAAATTACAAATTGATATATTTCAAATGAATATATTTATAATATTTTAACATCTACGAATTTTTCTTACAGCTAATTTGAGATACACCGGTGGCCTAAAACAGAGATTACGGAACGGAACTTTAGGACACACAGTTAATGCAGTGGACACTCTTGCTGCGATGAGACAAAAACAAAACGAAACTACATCCGATGTTAAGGAAGATAGAGGAATAATAATTAACAGAGAACACAGTATTAAAGACATAGCCCAAATGTTAACTAACCCGGTGAGTCCCAATGCAGAGGAAAAATCACTAAAAGTGGCGGATATGGCGGGGATTGTTTTAAAAGCCAAAGAGGAATTAGCGAAATCTCAATCAAAAGGTAAGAATCAAATACAAAAGTTTAATATTATCTGACTTGATTTTAATAACTTTTTTATTACATCTTTCCAGAAATCATCAAAAGTCCTAGTATTGAGAAAAGTACCAAAGTACCTGAATTGAAAATATCAGAAAATGATTTGCATTGGGAAAAACTTAAGCAAAGCGGTCTGAATAGGGAATTTCATATATGTGATTTGGATTTTTCCGATTTGAAACAAGATTCAGACGATGAAATGGCTTCCCCGACCAAGAACGGAAACAGTGGGCCGCCGCCACCGCCGCCCAATATGTTCCCGTCTTTGGGGATGCCACCCCCCATGCCTGGATCTCAGCTACATACTCTGAAGAACAGTGTCCCAAATCCACCACCATCGTTACCCTTAGATTTGGGGCAAGACTGTGACAGGGGTACTATTAAGAAAAATAAAAAGACTGTTAAACTATTTTGGAGAGAAATCCAAGAGAATCCGATCCCTCCACCGATCAGGACGAAAGTTGGAGGCTTCATTTGGGATGAACTCCCAGAAGTTCCCGTAGATACGGCTATGTTAGAGCATTTGTTTGAATCGAGAACCAATGACTTAATAATTAAGGTATGTAGGTAATGTTAAAATCGACTGCTTTGTGGAATTATTCTGAAAAGCAAAATAGCGAGAAACGACTTCTAGTTTTTAAAGTCTTCATTTTTGTTTTTAACTTGTTCTTTTTTCTTCATTTCATGGTTGCGGATTGGCTGCTCTTCTTACAGGAAGTGAGTACAAATCGTATATCATATTAATTAATATTTCATCTTTTAGGGTGAGAAAGAATGTACAGTATTACACCCAACCTTTTTGAGGACTGTTTCCGAGGGTTAAAACTGTTTTACTTATATATTTTCAGAAATTAATGGAACCAAAGAGAAATCTTATATTAGATGCTAAACGTTCGAATGCCATAAATATAGCAATGAAAAAGTTGCCAACACCGCAGACCATTAAGGCGGCTATTATGAAAATGGATGCTACAGTCATAGGAAGAGAAGGAATAGAGAAGCTTTTGACAATGCTACCAACGGAAGAGGAAAAAGTTAAAATACAAGAAGCGCAGGTATTTATGGTCATATTTAAAATTCAAACGTGAAAAATTAAAACACTTTAAAAGACACATTACAAGATTGTATACAAATTAATAACACTTTCAGTATGCCAATCCAGACTTACCGCTCGGAAGTGCCGAGCAGTTCTTGCTTGCTCTAGCTACCATTAACGAATTGTCTTCAAGACTTAAGCTTTGGGTCTTCAAACTTGACTTTGATAATTTGGAGGTAAGATATATTGAATTTTGTGTCGTATAGTAACAGCTAATGTATCAATTGTCCAGATCTAGCGAATACAGCTAGCCAGCGGCAAAGTCGTCAGATGTGGATGAACCGTAAGCACTAATTACTTGGTTGGATAGCCACACAATATTCAGCAATAGCATAAACACTATAAAATAAGCATGCTGACAATAAATACCATTTTTTGCATATGATGGTTTAAGCAACATAAAGCCAAATCTTAGATAGACTAACCAAATAAGGTAAATTAATAACTTAATCTTGTTATCTTCTCAACTTTTTAGAAAGAAATTAGTGAACCATTAATGGACCTGAAACAAGGAATTGAATTGTTAAAAGTGAACAAAACATTTAAAGTAATATTGTCTACATTAAGATCTGTCGGAAGCTTTCTTAATGGTTGTCAAGTGAAAGGATTTCGATTGGAATATTTGTCTAAAGTGATGGAGGTAAAGGACACAGTGCACAAACATCCTCTGCTGTATCACATATGCGAAATGATCATTGAGAAGTTCCCTGATACCACGGATTTCTTCAGCGAGGTAAGATTAGCCGACAGATATCATCATCAATGTCTTCCAGAGAGTTTCTCCTTTGGCTATTTAAAAATCAAGCAGATCATTTGCTAATATTTCTTGACACCATTTCAACTAAATTGTTATTTTGTTATAGGAAATGTTTAACGATTCGAAACTATGATTTAATTTCAGGTGGGCCCAGTAATTAGAGCATCTAAAGTGGACTTCGATATTCTATCGGCGAACCTTCACAAATTAGAGTGCGACTGCAAGGCCTCCTGGGACCACATGAAGAGGGTGGCGAAGCATGACAGTGCTCAGATTTGCAAAACTAAAATCAATGAGTTTTTAATTGATGCCGCTGAAAGGATCATTATTTTGGGTGTTATCAAGAAAAGGATCATGAAAAGGTACGTATTTGTTCTAGAAGTGCCCATGTAACAAACATTTAATCAATACATTGATATAAAATCTTTGTTCATTTAAAAAATGCGAGGCATAGAAATATGTATTTTGGCAATTTCAAATTCATTATCTCTAAGTTTGGAGAAAAATGTCTAAAAGTAAATACAATTTTCTTATACAGGTACAGCAAGTTCCTATATTTCTTAGGAGTTCCACCAGCTGAAGTGGTGAAAACGAAACCATCCGAATTCCTCAAAGTAATTGCGGAGTTCGCACTTGAATATCGGACCACGAGAGAGCGCGTGTTGCAGCAACTTGAGAAACGAGCAAATCATAGGGAAAGGAACAAGACTAGAGGGAAAATGATCACTGATGTAAGCAATTTATACATTTCCACCCATCTGAGGAAATGAGTTCTCATAAGACTACTCTAAAGAGATCTTAATAAAATTTAATTCTTAAATAGTAACATCTTTCATGAGATCTGTATCTCTTTTGGTCTGATGGATCGAACCATATTTTATAGATCTTGAAAAATATACTGGTAATTTAACTCTGTAATTATTTTAACAGTAGTTATGTAAGAACAGTGTGTTTTTATATTAGCCAGCACCTCTCTGTCATAAATGTGTACAACTATTATTTTATGTATTGGTTTTATTATAGTGTACGTGGCAATATTTTTGCAGGTCGGGAATTTCTCTAATAAAAATGGAGATTATGCAGCAGATTGCGCCTTAAAAGAACTGTTGAGAGCTGAGGGTGACATGGTTACTGATGGCAGGCGGAAATATCAAACAACCGATACCAACTTCATAAAGTGAGTTCCATACAGAAATCTATCATTACCCTGTGGCTGTGTAGGGTTGCCACTAAATTATCCATCTTCGAAAATCATTCTTATATAATATATTTTTAAAAAACGTATTAACTTATATGTAATCATTTGAAGTCATTAATCTTGTTATCTTATGCTGTTCTATTTTTTATTTATTTATATATTTCTTATATTTATGTTACAGTGGCGATGAAATTCTGGAGAGCCTTGTTCGATCTGCAACAAGCAAAACTAGGAGTGTGCCAAGAGAAAGGAGGCGGCAAAGAATCTCCTCTGACAAGAAATATTGTAAGTTTACTCTGTTAGAGTTGTTAACCTTAATTATGTAAATTTTATGTAATTGATGAAGCGATATATTCTGTGCGAAAATATTTTTTATTTATTTTTGTGATTTAACACATTTTATATGTTGCTAGCGTTTTGTTTTCTATTATTTTAATTGGTTTATGTTTAATGTAGTGTGTGATATGTCGCGAACTTCTTATACAATCAGGTGCTTGCGTACCTTCTTTAGTAAAATTGCTTTTTTATTACAGTCAAGCGGACATTAGATGGAGGAGATGGCGTTTAGAAGCGTAAGTCAATAAATTGAAACTTTAAGCCACGTGGTCACCTATTTGAAGTAATCATATTTATTTACTACTTTTTACTAATGTAACATGACACAAACCTCAGTGTCTTAAGACATTTTTTGTTTTATAGCTTAAAACTGAAATGTTTAAAGTTATTGACTAAATTAATTCCCTGTGGACATTGAGGTATAGTGCAATCCAAACTTTGTGGCGGCTCGCAAGTCATGCTGCGCCAAACACCACACGTCAAACATAATTATTTTGGATATCGACGCGGCGTAGGACACATACGTCCGCAAGCTTAGATGGATCTCACCTCCCTGGATCTCATATAAGCGGATAGCAGGCATACAATAACAACCAACCACGAGCCGCCATTAAGTTGTGAATCCTGTAATATTACGTATAGAAAAGACATCGCGTTGCATGATCACGCGGCTTATGGCGCTGCAACTATCCATTAGTAGTATATTCTAATACAACAGAATAAAGCATCGTTCTGATCTTTAAAACATCAAACATCACTTGTTTAAGATTTCATCGTTAGAGAGTTCGATTAGTTTTTTTAATGTATTTTTTTTTTATTATTAAAAGCGTAAGTTAAGTTACTTTACTTTGACTGAGCTAACCTGCCTATATTAGCGAACCAGCACTTTTTATGTTTATTGTTTGGCTAGACGATATAATTTTTGTTAGCGCTGCAGCGAACTTTAGTTTCAGCCAAAAGCGAAACCTACTTTTGGATCGCGGTGTCTCATCTATACGTTCTAAGTAGAGTAATATTTAATATTGTTCTAAACGACGAAATCAAATAAATATTTTTTTCTTCCAGCTCCATGGATAACATCTCTGAAAAAAATGATCTTAACCTTCAAACGGAATCTCACTAAGCTTGTAATTTTTACTCAATTAATTTAAGTATCTCGAAGATGTTATTCGGAGACACTAAATGCACCATAGCTTTCAGTGATAAACAACGAACAAACACGAAAGGAAATTAAAGGTTTAAACTTGTAAAATTTCTATAAAATGGCATTTAAACATATTAAAAAAATATAATAACAGCCGATCAACTAATTTGTCGATTTAATTTTATTGTTGCGTTGAGATTAACTATTTAGTCAGTTTATTAAGATAATCAAAACATCGGTTTCACTTATTGATTAATTTTCTTATTGCATAATTTTCTCAAGACCAACCAAAAGGTAATTTAAAATTCACATAAGTCAATTCATTGATTACCAAATTCCAAATTCGGACATTTATTTATGATGTTTGACGTCCAAATTGATATTGGCTTAAATGTATCTTTACCAGGCCATAGAATCTTTAAAAAAATGACATTGACACTTCCGGTTGGTTTTCCTTTGCATTTTCAAATGTCAAAGTCAAAGTTGAATTTGACTTGCCAAATGTTGTATTTTTATTTTATTTTTAAGTCTTAATTTGAAGTTAATACCTTAACCAGCATATTAAATAGCAAATAATAGTGTACTGTAACAATCCAGTGAAATTCAGCTTTTTACGATTCATTGTTCTTTAACAATTCCATTCAATTATGCAAAACTTTATTTTGGAGTGATATTAATAAAATCTGAAATATAAATAATGTATCTCATATTGGTTTATTCAAAAATTATAACCTATTGTTATTACTTTAATATTTATTGTGATTGTAAATATTTAAGTGTAAATAAAATACATTTGACCATTTATGTTTTTCGAGTTTTATTAGGTACTAGCTCTTGTTCCCGATTCCGTCGGAGAAAGTTAAAAAGAATAGTTAGTAACCTATGTTTTCTCCCAGACTACTCTACATCATGAACAATATAAAATACTATGTTTAAAACTTCCAATAATACTATACTAATGAAAATATATGGACACTATATTTTGAATGATCTGTCGTCCACAAGCTGCATAAGTGCACAATTTAAAAAATTGTACCATATCATCAATTACAATACTATGTGCAACAGCTACTCTTCATTGAGTCCCATCAAAATTGATGAATAGTTGCTAAAATTGTCCTTGGGGTGTGTCTAAATGTTTTCACCTTTTTACTGCATATATTATAGCTACAAAGACTATGAAATATGCAAATGATGTATTGATTTTCAAATAAAACAAATTGAATAGGCTTTTACTCCTTTACTCGTTTTTTTTTCCTTTCTTGGAGCGAGGCTGGTCACCTTCGCTGGTGGAGTCCGGTGCCGGCGCTATGTAGCACAAACAGATAAAAAGTCTTAGTGTATTTATTTTTTATAAATATGCAAATAAAAAACTTACAAACATCATTGACAAGAGGTATAAAATTTAACATTCATATACAACAACAATCAAGCACATCAAAAGGTAAATATATTTTAACATTAAACATAAGTTTATCTGTTACAAAAATAATATAAAACCATAAATAAATAGATTTAGTACTAACCTGTCAGTTGCATATTTTTCCAAAACCAAAACCATAAACTAAAAATTATCTTAATTTTTAAACTTCTTAAATTGATCTTGAGGCATTGTTATCTATTACAAAGTAAAACTGATTAGTAAAAACTAAGTCCATTGAAGTAATGAAGTTAAATGGATAGATTTTGGAAATACATATATCTATTAAATTTTAACATAAGTATTACACACATAAATCAAATACTACGACACTTATAGTTTCATACAATATTAAGAAAATGATTATACAAGGAATCGTGCTGCACGCTAAATACGAGCAATATTCCATCCAGACACAGCTGTACTTCTGCATGCAATTTATTCTATTTTCTATCCTTTTATATCACTGATTGAACTGACTTTTGGAAACAACCAGATTATGCCAATTTAAATTACATTTTTTCTTAAAAAAATTCATTTAGGTTACATTTCAAACAAAATGAGTCTTTTGACTAACAACTGCAAGATATTCAGCTCATTTTGATATAAGCATTCTGACAATTCAAACAAAAAAATTGATAATTCACCTATCTCTTGCTTTGGTAATAATCTATAGTGATATTTCAGTGTCATTGCTTTCATTGTGTTGTTTTTGTTTGGTTATCTATGAACATTTAAGTTTATATGGTTTTCGGTTAAAAAAAAATATAACAGAGTACAAATTTTCTGTCACATTCAATTTGTGAAAATTAGTTTAGACCGACAAGGATATCTGTCCTCGTGTACACAAGTCAAACTAAATTATGACTGCTCACTAGCACCCTCCCCCCCCGTCAACGTCAAAATCACTTCAAATGATCCTCTCGTAATGTTTCTTTCATGTCATGTTTTTTCTGTGTCAAGTAAATGTTCACGGGGCCAAATATCCTAGTTTAACTAAATGAATAGTGTGTAACTTTTCAATTCCTCCAAAATATTATAATTTTGAAATCATGTCCAAAAGACAGATCAACCATGTACATAGAAAGATAGAACCAGACACAGTATAACATATTAGAAACCACGCACAGCACCTTCAAATCTTGTTAGATTTAATAAATAGTGATGTATTTTGCAGATATTGTTATAAATGTAACAAAATTTCTCGATATCATAACTAAAAACGTTCTGTTAGTTTAAATTGTTCTGCAAAATAGTTTTCACCTAACATTAGTGTTAATGATTACTTAATAAGAAATTATGAATCAAATACAAAGGTGCAGTACCATGGCAACGAATCGCGCTTAATCATTTGGAAATAAGGGCGAATGATCGAGATGCTGGCTCAGTCGTTCGCCCGCCGGGCAAGGGCGGATCCAGCCTTGAAGGGAGAGGACTCTGTTTACTCTTCCAATGTGACCAACCGAGAGGCTATTCAAATGACTTCTGCAATTGTAACCAGTCGATAACAGTCATTTTAAGTGTTCATTCCAGTATTTTTCGCGTAATGTATAAGTGTCTATCCAGCTGTGAATTGCTTCCGTAAAATATGAAAAGATATTGTTTAATATACAATAGTAGATCCGCCGTTGCAATGGTTAAGTTCCTGGTAACATTTCGCCAAAATTTATCTTGTATCTGTATACCGGTCAGATTCTTCGGCTCCTTATTTCCATCCCGTGACCCTTTCGCTTCAGACGACTTGCGCCGCGACGATGACTCCGCCGGAGGCTTAGCCTTTTCCGGCTCTTGCGTTGAAGAAGTTGCTGCCATCGGCATCGGCGGTTCCTTGCTTCGTTTCACTCCTTTTGGGCGGGAACCTGATAACAAGTGTTCAAAATTAATTTCCTATTTATTTCTTTCCTTCCTATATTTAATCACAAGAAGACAGTTACAATATACTATAAGACTGTTAATAGATGCTATATGACCATAATGTAAAGCCTTACGATGTTTTGGAAGAGAATTGGTATTAATAAACAACCTTATTTGGCAAAACATGAGGGTTCGCTAAATAAATTAAGCAATCTGATCCTGTAGAAATAAAAGCTTTGTTTTAACAGTGACAATTTTACTGCTCCGTTGTTTTTTTGTTTTATTTGAAAACTATGTTACAAAACATTGAATAATGTCAACAGTCTAATTGTTTTTAGTATATTTCAATTTAAAGTCTAAAGTAACATATGAAATTGATGGCAGCCATTGTGCTATTTCATTATGCTAGTTCTCTTTGTATAATCTCGGCTTTCCCATGGTAGTGAGGACAGCTGTTTATTTGTTTTTTCATTTATTTTGTAAATATTGCGAGATAAATTGATTTGATTTTATAGGCTGTTATGTGGCAAAATGTGTTACCATCTCTGGTGACATATTTTTGGAAATCACTAGCTTTTCCTGGTATTTCATATTTTGTATTAGTTTATTTTTAAATTAGAACCAAGATATACTAATTAATCGTCGTAAAAATGTTATATTATAGATAAAACTTGCAAACATATGTTTGAAAATTTTTAAGAACAAAGGTGGCCATTTTGATTTGATTGGACCATATTTCAATAAAATAAGCAATTTTGTAATGTAGCCTAAGATTCGATTAATATTTAATCAGTTATACTTTTCGCAAACCATTTTCATAAACTGTATATATTACTGTTTCTCAAACTTTGGTCGACAGTGAGTTTTGTGTTCTGTTATTTTTTTTTAAAAATCACAGCACAACAGTTATTTAATCGTATAAATCTGAGATATAGAATTAAAACATAAAAAATTAAATCTGTATATGGTGTTCTTTACCTTTATGCTTACCAGCAGGTTCCTCGTCAGAAGAAGATGACATCGTAATAATGCGGCGGCGCTTTTTACTAGTTTTAGCAGATTTGGACTTCTCCAGTTTTGCTACTTTCTTTTTTATTTCAATTAAATCATGAAACGTTCGCTTGAGCATTTTCGGTCAAGACAAACGAATCTACTTCGACGAAACAACAATGACAAATCGAGATGAAAATATAGTATCACAAGGATATTATGGCACCATTTTGACATTGGCAAGATTGCGCCACCGAGAATTTGGGGCTACCATCAAATGAATTTTTCCACATTTAAGGGCAATTTTACCTTTTTGAATACAAAATGGCCAAATTGTAAATAAAGCTCATATAGAGAATAATAGAAATGTTAATGATTATTTGTTGTTTACAATATGTAATGTAATTTCCTTATAACTTAGTAAATATGCATGTAAAAAAATTAACAGTTAAGAAATTTTTTGAATTAACAAATGGCAGCACATTTTCGTTGCAACAGACACAAAATGATTCATATTTTTATACTACTTTTCCTCTCCTATACTACTTTTAAACGTCGTCACTTTTTTCCATGGAATAATACCAACAAACCACACAAAATGTTTAAAGTAACGTCGCAAAGTGAACTGACAAGCTGCGTCACTAATACCCTGATATTCAATTGTCATTTTTATTTCCAAAAATTGCCGGGTGTCAAAAGAAGTATGTAAACCTATACCTGGGCGGAGGCAGACGGGCGGACTCAGGCGCAGAATACATATAGTCCCATATCGGACTCAGTATTTATTTGTATTATTTATAGACTGAGGGCAGACCACAGACTGTCTCCAGCACTGATCTCTATCAATAGACAGGCAAAAAGCTTTAAAGTATTACACAAAGTAGGATAAACTGACAGTAACTTTAATAGAGGCAAACAGAACAAAACAAAAGCTATTATTTGTAAGCATCGACTTATCCATCATGTCATCATCAACTTGACCTTATCCCTTACGGAGGATTGGCACAGTATGTGCTGCTCTTCATCACATCTCTATCAGCCTTCATATCTGAATCCACTCCCTTTTCAAGCATATCCTCTTTCACACAATCCATCCATACTTTCAATACATTAAGCACCGACCTATTCAATTAACAAAATATATGGTCATTAGTCATTGCACTTAAAAATAAAAAATTGTTTAATATTGTCATTCAAAGCATATTGTTATTTTGCGACCCACCGCCCTAAAGTAGGAGGTACTCAATTCGTCTGTATTTTTTTTTGTTTTGTTAAATCAGTCGTGTTCATTCGAACTGTGGAGTGTAAATAACTTAAAGCTTATTTTTCAAAGTGTGTAAGGTATGTGCACTGTTTTTTTTATACTCCAATTCATCGACCACACCACATTATTTTTGCACATAGTAACACTTTGACATCAAATGTCGTGTCTAGTGATGTCCATTAACCGGTTGTCAGCAAATCAGAGATGAATTGTTAAAGGTTGACGGTCTTTCTATCAACGAATCGTTTTAAGATTTATCTGCTTTGGTTTACTCTTTGAGGGATCATCATGTATTTATTTATATAACCAATCATATTTTTTAAAGAAGAGTCTAATTTAGATGTTTAGTAGGATATTCTTTGATAGCTGTGCAATGCATGCCGGTTCCTTCAAGTATTTGGTTAAAATTACTTTTTTACACTTTAATATTATAAATGCGAAAGTTTAGATGAATGGATGTTTGTTAGAGTTATGAGTCTAAATGGGTGAACAGATTTCGATAAATTTTGGTCTAGATGTAGAGGATAGTCTGGAAGAACAACTAGGCTACTTGTTTATGTTATTCTTATTCTACGCGAACGGAGTCGCGGGCGATAGCTAGTGTATACATATTTATGACTACGATTAAAATTTTCATTTTAAGTTCTTGGACTTTTAAATATTAATTTCGTTTTCATTAAACGTAAAAGTTGTCGTTGTATGATAAAGTTGGTTAATCCGACTGTCTAATTTACCATAAGTGCTCTAATTTATGTAGTTGAAATGATTTAAGGAAAATTATAGACGGTTGACATGTTGACAATGTCTGATATAACCTGTTCGTCGAAACAAATCATAGCCCATCACTACATTACTTCCTAACTCGTAATTCATTTGCTATGGTTTAGAAATGTCATGTCAAACAAACAAAATCGGGCAAATGTGTGTGTTTGCAGTACGAGTAAAAATATTCATGATGTTTATTCAATAAAGAAAATTTACTTAGATTTACATATTCCGCAGGCGAATGCTACCCATGTAGTTGCTTTTCAGACGCAGTCTCGAAACGCACGGCGCTAACAAAGGTAGTGCCATGAGTTCTGTTTACTATAACGGGGCCAACGATAGACTTATCCATGAGGCCGATCAATTGATATCGTACTTGGAAAGGGGGTCTCCTGTACTGAAGTTTTATCCGCGAAAAAGACCTGAACGTCGCACACTGTCTGTGCGTCGGGAAACACATCAAATTATTTTATTCAGAAATGGAAGTCCTCAGCGACATGCTCTCGAAGGCACCTTGGATGTAAGAGATATAAAGGAAGTTAGAATCGGTAAATCATCGAAAGACTTTGAACGATGGCCCGAAGAAACAAAGAGAATAGAAAATTTGAAATGCTTTACAATTTATTATGGTACCGAATTCAAATTGCGCTCGGTTTCTTTTGTTGGTAAGTTTATTTAGATTAGTATTTAGTATAGAAATAGCTTAATAAATTTGTATTTTTTCCAACATTACGTAATTTTCTAGCAATACATCTCCTTCAAAACTCCTTGCTTGAATGTTGTTGCATTTAAATGGAATATATTCATGGATAGAGCTATAAATATCTGTAGCAATATTTCCACTTGAGATGTTGGTTGTTGGTCTAGATCTAAAATAGCTTGTTTGTGTTTCAGCTCAAACGGACAAGGAATGTGAAACATGGGTGAAGGGAATTAGGTTTCTAGTAGAGGAAGCTGTAACTACACCATACCCACTACAAATTGATAGATGGCTACGAAGAGAATTTTATTCAATAGAGAACTCAAATGAAAAGTAAGTTTTTTTTTATTATGAAATTTATCGGAATCTGGCACTTGTGGCTTTGTCTATGCAGAGTTTAATGAAATCTATTAAAAACACAGTCTATTTTAATAAATGATAATGTAGCTTTTTAATGGTGAAAGGTTTTTTGAAATTTGTCCAGTAGTTTTTGTGTTTATTACAAATATACTAATTATTAAAAATGTGAATCTTTCCTATTTCTATATATAAAAGAGCTTGACTAACAACCATCAACAGACAGCCAAACGTACAGGATCTAGATTTGGAATTTTGCATAGAGATTTCTGTTTCTATGTAAATGTCCACAGAGGAATAATATAATAAATATTACTAACATTTGAGGTCCATACTGTGTATGGTGAAATATTATTCCTACATCTGAATTGCGTAAAACTTTTGGGAACAAAAAATTAGCAATGACTTTTAAAGTTTTTTTCAAATTAGTCCTCTCATACTAATATTATAAATGCGAAAGTTTACATGGCTGGATTGATGCTTGTTAGAGTTTGTAGCCTAAACGTTTGAAAGGATTTTGATGAAATTTGGTATAGATGTAGAAGATGATCTGGAAGAACACACAGGCTACTTACTTTTGTTTTTTTTTGTAAATTCCACACAGACGGAGTCGCAGGCGAAAGCCAGTATCAATGTAATTGTTCTTGATAGTGTAGAGTTAAAATTTTGCACAGAGATATCTGATTTGTCTTTAATAAGCACTTTGATGGGACTTAGTGGGAGAATATATTTGAAAATAGACTAAAACACTCTTTACATAAACAATTGACTACTAAGTGGTTTAAATTCTTAATAAAGGTACAAAGTTAGTTTTGAACTTTTAAACTTCACATGGGCTATGTTGCGACCAACAGTTCCTAATATTAATATAGAAATAGAATTTAAAAAAATCTTCATTTCCACTATTTAACAGGGTTATTTTTTTAATTAACAAACAATATACATTTATGGCCTTTTACAGGATTTTAAAACTATTGTTTGTCAACTTCATTATTATTGAATGTAAAAATAATAACTATGTATTTAAGATAGTATATTATATTTACATTACATTTGTTTTTGTAGTTAAGAAGTAATCTTGTACAGTTTTATTCCTTCATATATGAAGTAGTAACATAGTTTAAGGTTTTATGGCTTCAATCCAGCTGCTGCATACTGTCTGTATTAAATTATACTTTGTTGCCTTTGATTTGTCCTTTATATAAGACAAGCGTCTATTTTCAAATCAAGGACATTTTGTTGTACATTTTCTATTGGATTTTTATTGTGTTGAATTATGATTATATGTCTGCAATAGCTAACCTGTAACAACAGGATAGGACATGGTCTGTTTTTACCTGAGAAATTGAATTTCAAATTTTTGGGTAACGCTGTGCATTTAGCAATTTAAATTTAGGGTACCTCAGAGCTGTTTTGCTTTAGCGAATGACTAAACAATGAGAAAACGCACGTAAACAGGATAACGTTTGATTATACAGTCTGTAAGGAGAGGAAATATTTTTATTATGCAGTCGGCTTGGTACCCTTGTCTTATGAAAAATGTAACAATATTCTGATATTACATATGTGTCTTGGGCACTATATATGAAGAAAAATAGATATAACAATTACCTTATATTAAGTAACCACTAAATCTCATAGACAGTCAAAAATGTTATAGTCCAACAGACGCATCTAGCCCGGTGAAAATAATATAAAAAACAAAACATAATCAAGACATCTGAAAGATTTTGTGACTATACTATTAACTATTTTAATTTAGTTTTCTAATCAGCCCTTGTCAGACTATACAGAGATGTGTTAAAGGAAATTAAATGTAAAATAGCAGTCTTAAGTCCAAGTGCAGAATGAATATTATATGGTCATAGGTTTTATTGTAATCTGTGATTTAGCTGGCTACTATCTGATGCTGCCTTAAATGCCTTTTTAATAACTAGTGTAATAAAAAAAAATATACTGTCTGAACTATATATCTTATATAGAAACTAGCCTTTGCTCGCGACTTTGCGAATTAACAAAGAATCTAGAAATAAACTTAGCCTATGTTAATCTAAGATTGTAGCTCTCCAACAGTGAAATAATTTTTGAATTCAACTCAGTATGTATTCCTAAACCGCATATCAGATTCTGATTAAATCTTAATAGGTTATTCTTAGAGCACCAGATAAGGTTCTCTATAAACAATGTTTGTTTATGTTTTAAGAAACTGCTTGCTTGTGCTATGTTTCCTAGTATTGATTTAACATTGCAGTGCATACTGTGCATTTTAGCTGATGAATTATTAAATTATTTATCTGTTTAACTATTCTTATATTACGCTGGCAAACCATAGGGGTAGGCAGAGACTTAATTTGATGTGGTCCCAGAACAACTTTATACATTAATGATTTTATTAACATGTTTTTTTCAAATACAGGTTAACTCTTAAAGAAATTAAGGCATTCTTGCCTAAAATCAACTGCAAAATATCAACAACCAAATTACGCGACATATTCCAAGAAGTGGACACTGGTAAACGCGGCGAAATTGGATTCGATGATTTTTCATTTCTCTATCACAGATTAATCTTTGACGAAAATGTTAGTAGCCTTTTTCTTATTTATTATGTCTTTAGAGCGTTTCAATCTTGACCTACGTTCTCTCCCATTCTGCTACGCCCCTCTACGCCAAGATGTTTAAAAAACATACATTAAATGTTTATAACTTTGTAATTAAACAAAACATTGTATGTGAAGTTATTTTTATAGTGTCAGTTTGTTTTGAAACAGATTTAAGAACAAATTCAAATCTGCATTGCTGTTTTTCACAATTATAAAGATATGGCTTATCACTAGCTAATTAAACTTATAAAAATGTACTTGTTTGTATAAATAAGGCATTAAAAAAACAACTAGATAATGATATCTACAGTACATGAACTTGGCTCACTGTTAGACTTGTTACTGTTCAGTGTTAAATTTTTTCTTTACTTATTCATACTTATTCTGTTAAAATTGTATATGTGTAGATAAAAATTTAAATTAAATTGTAATTCTTTCCAGAATGTTCATGATATATTTGACAAATACTCGCTTTATTGTGAAAATGGTACGACAATAACTTTACACGAATTCCAAAAGTTCTTAATAGTGGAACAACATGATAAATTAGGAGAAGATGAAGCTAAAACATCACAGCATATCAGAGATTATTTGCGTGATCCACAGAGAGATATTTCTGAACCCTGTTTAACGTTGAACGAAGTAAGTATCGACAATAATCTTACTTCTTACTAATACTATAAATGTGAAAGTTTAGATGAATGGATGGATGTTTGTTACAGTTTGTAGCCTAAACGTCTAAACGGATTTCGATGAAATTTGCCATACATGTAGAGGATAATCTGGAAGAACACATAGGCTCCCCGTTTTTGTTTTTCTTATCTCGCACGAGCGGGGTCGTGAGCGAAAGTTAGTTAACTATAAATAGTAAAATATTTTAATCGTTCTAATTTATAATTTTATTTCTAGTTCATCGAAATGTTGTTTTCGAAACATAATTCAATTTGGGACAGCCGACATAATCAGGTGACTCAAGATATGACAAAACCATTATCCCATTACTGGATATCATCATCCCACAATACGTAAGTATTAGCATTATTATCCATAAACTAACTGTTCCCGCGCGGTTCCATCCACGAAATTATGAAAACTTTATTGTTTACATTTCTCAAATTCTCTATTGTAAATGTTAAGATTCAAATGCACAAATGATAACCTTGGCAAAATTTCTTCCTTGATGTTGGCAGCTTGTAGTTTATGGTCCCTTTCCAACACGATTTTTTCCAATTGATGTACCCACTAAGTTAAACAGTGTGGACATATATAGCCTGAACCATGTTGTAAGTGTAGGGATTTTTATTAAAGAAAGCATTATTCAAAAATATGCTGTGATTGCTGACATCCTGCGTCACAAAGTAGTGTGTGTTTACGCTTTTTTATATAAGTAGAGATAGAGAAGAGATTTAAGTAATAAATAAATCACTACATTACATTTTTATTATTGTAGATATTTAACTGGAGATCAGTTCTCAAGCGAATCTTCGCTGGAGGCATATGTACGGTGCTTAAGATCTTGCTGCCGTTGCATAGAATTAGATTGTTGGGACGGACCTGATGGTATGCCATTCATATACCATGGACATACATTAACAACGAAGATAAGATTCATGGATGTTCTTAAAACAATAAAGGAGCATGCTTTTGTGGCCTCTGATTATCCACTTATCTTATCGATTGAAGATAATTGCTCGTTACCACAACAGAGACGTATGGCGAGTGCATTCCAAGATGTATTTGGTGATATGTTGCTTGTCCAACCGATTGAGAAAAACGAAACATGTCTCCCATCGCCATATGATTTGCGTCGGAAGGTAATTTTGAAGCACAAGAAACTGCCCGATGGTGCTGAGGAGAATTCATTCGCAGTACGCCTAGAAGAAGGCAAAGATATGGATTTGAGGAATACAATTAAAAATGGTATACTGCTATTGGAAGATCCGGTTGATAAAGAATGGAATCCACATGCGTTTGTGCTTACTGAGAATAAGCTGTATTATACAGAGAACTACAGTGCACCGAGTGAAACTGATGTTGATAGTGATGGTGAACCAGATATGGACCCTAATTGCATACCCGAGGATGAATTGCACTTTGGTGAGTGTTGGTTTCATGGGAAATTGACTGGCAACAGACAAGAAGCTGAAGATCTTCTGAAAGCGCATGCACATCTTGGTGATGGCACATTTCTTGTGAGGGAAAGTGTGACATTTGTTGGCGACTACTGTTTATCATTCTGGAGACAAGGCAAAGTGAATCATTGCCGTATAAAATTGAAGCAAGAAAGGGGGATAACTAAGTATTATCTTATTGACACAATTTGCTTTGAAAGCCTCTACAGTTTGATTACACATTATAGACAGCATTCACTTCGCAGTCAGGTAAACAAATCTTATTTATATTATGAATGCGAAAATATAGATGGATGGATGGATGGTTTGTTACTACGTATCTCCAGAACTGTTCGAGCAATATCTACATATATGTAAATTAGGTTTTTTTTTTAATTTCTCGCGTTCGGAGTCGCGGGCGACGGTTAGTATATTATAACTATCCGTTGCCCATGAATCTGTCTGTGTGGAATTTGAACAACATACTTCAGTTTATAATATGTTTAATGATACAGAAACGTCGCAACAAAAGCATCTGTAACATCCTGTTTGGTTGCTTCGGTAGCCGTGGTCATGGACACAGGAACATGCATAAGAAGACAGCGCCTGAGAACTTTGTGAAATAAATATATTATTAAAAATATAGCCTGACCATAAATAAAGCATACTTATTATGAGGGCGCCGTAATCTCCTTATAGATATTGCAACACTTTGTTAATATGTCTGATAACTGTCATAACAAATTTAATTCCAGTTTTTCAGACTTATTTTTATCTTAATTGACCATACGCATTTCTCCGCGACTATATTTTTTCTGTTAATAAGACATTAAATTAATAATACAAACCAATAATGTCAATACCAAAGCAATTAATTTATGTATTAGAAAAAATGCTGTCATCATCAAGATAGTCATTCTGTATGTTTTCTACATAACTTTGTTATATTTTCCTGGTCAGGCTATCAATAAGTTGTTTTAAGTTTTTTTATTAAAATTGCAGACAGATTAAAAAAGAGTTAAAACTGTCTTTTGTCAAAAGTAAAAAAAAAAAAAAAAATTCGGTATTACAGATATTTCGATGTTATTGATCTTTATAGAAGGCAAAGACATTTAAGTAATATAGACTAGGCATAGTAACATTTTGTTATCGGTACTTTCTCTGAAAGGTACTATATCAGTTGTCAATATAGTGCCACCTTATTTTCTGGTATTGACATTTTACTAAAATATAAGCTGCATCTTTTGGTGTAAAATAAACTAAATAGTCACAACATATATACATCTAAATGTTATTTAATTACAATTATTGGCAATTTAAATAAAATTAAATTATATTGACATGTGTTTTTGAAGATCTATTAATGGATTGTGTTAGTAACATGTGAAAAATGTTTCAAATCAACTATGCCTACTCTATATATTCTTTTAATCTCTTTAATATGGCTATGATCGGTAATGTATTCGACTGTATCTTTTCTATAACATTTTTGTATATTTTAGGAGTTTTTTATAACACTGAAAGATCCCGTACCACAACCAAATAAGCACGAAGGTAAAGATTGGTACCATCCGCACTGCTCAAGGGCACAGGCTGAAGAACTGTTAAGAAAAGTTAATATTGACGGTGCTTTCCTCGTTAGACCGAGTGAAAAAGAAAATGGTTCCTATGCTATCAGTTTTAGGTAACACTTACTTATTATTTAAGAGAAGAGTCTAGCTGTTGCTCGCGACATCGTCCCCGTGATAAAAAAAACATAGCTCTTTACTCAGTGGCTACATAGCTTTTTAATGGTGCAGAAATTTGAAATTGGCCCAGTAGTTTTTGAGTTATTTCAATGCAGACGAAAAAACATTTTTCCTCTTTATAATATTGCTATAGATAAATGTATAATTGAATCTTGTAAGTGTATATTTATACTTTAATATTTATTTTCACATAAAAACTTGATAAAATCGATAAAGGGCAAGTGTGAGTGAGAGGCCAAAACAAGCTATAGAGACACAAGATGGGATGTCTTAATAAAAATTGGACATGGGATATTATTAAACCTGATTTTACAAACAACTAATTTTTATATTATAGGACAGAGAAGGAGATTAAGCACTGCAGAATAAGAGTGGAAGGGAGATTGTACACTATAGGCACGGTTAAGTTTGAGAGCCTTGTTGAGTTGGTGTCATACTATGAAAAGAATCCATTGTACAAAAAAGTCAAGCTCTCATATTCCATCAGTGAGGAAGCAATAAGAAGAATAATAGCTGTAAGTATAATGAGTAGAAGTAGAATGAAGTAGGGGTAGAATAAAGTAGAAGTAGAACGGAGTAGAAGTAGAACGAAGTGGAAGTAGAACGGAGTAGAAGTAGAACGAAGTAGAAGTAGAACGGAGTAGTAGAATGAGATAAAAGTAGAATGAAGTAGGAGTAGATATAACTTCAAGTGTGTCCAGGTGTGAGGGAATTCATTAAAAAACCTTTATTTTTTGTTTTCTTTCTTTACTTTATTTTTCCTTATTTTAATACCTCAGGAGCCAGATGACAGTTCAGTGTATGGAACACCAGGTTACATGGATCCTACGTCATTTACCTCAAGGGTAAATATGTTTATTTTTTTTATTTGTCGATTTATTTAATTTTTACTGGGGAATTATCTCAAGTATGTCAAAATGCTTTGACCTCCAAATGTTTTGAATTATTATCTGGTTTATACTTTTTTTTCAATTTTCTGTCAATTTTTAATTGTTTTTATTTCGCTGCTTTTTGCTATTTTTATCGTGTTAGGTAACAGTGAAGGCGTTGTATGACTACCGTGCGAGACAAGACGACGAGCTGTCGTTTTGTAAACACGCGATAATAACGAACGTGGACAAACCTGACGAAGGTTGGTGGCGAGGTGACTACGGAGGGAAACGTCACCATTGGTTCCCCGCAAATTACGTCGAAGAGGTAGATGTACCTCATTTACCAGAAATCGCTGTTAGTATAATAACCGTTTGCTTTGTCATCACGCAATATACAGAAAGTTCATGCATAATTTGTGCTGATTTTTTTTTCGTTGATGCCATTTCGCAATGTTGCATGTACTTTAAAATTATGTTTCTGTAACGGTTTGTAAAAATGCAAATATTTTATTATAATTTATACTGTTTTAATTACAACATTTAAAAGATGATTTTCTTAATGATTTCAGGGTTGTGCGGATGCTGAGAACCCTGCGTTAGGTTCCCTTCAGCAAGGAGTTGTTGATGTATTGGGTGCGGTGGTCGAGCTGGTGGTTGGTGAGGAGAGTGGTGCTGCTCGTTGGCTGGTCAGGGTCCAGACCCCCACAATGTGTTCTCCCTTTGATATGGCCGCACCAACCAGAGAATCAGCACTGGAATGGCTTGCTGCCATCAAGGAAGCCGCTCATAGCGCTGGCGCCAGATCCTTACAAAACAGGAAAATGGAACGCACATGGAGAATCGCCAAAGAAATGTCTGATCTCATCGTATACTGCCGTTCAGTGGCATTCAATGCTGATAAATTAAAAAGTAAAAATTTCGTCTTCAACGAAATGTCCTCATTCCCAGAAACCAAAGCGGAACGATTCATGTGCCAACAGGAGGCTTCTCAGGCGTATTTCCTCAAATACCACACGATCCAACTGAGCCGGATCTATCCTAAAGGACAAAGGATCGATTCATCTAACTATAATCCCATTCCATTCTGGAATGCCGGTTCTCAGATGGTGGCATTAAACTATCAAACACCGGATAAAGCGATGCAAGTGAATATGGGAAAGTTCAAAGAGAACGGAGGTTGCGGTTATATACTGAAACCGGAGTTTATGTTCGATGAGAGATATACTCCTCAAGATAGACGGTGTGTTGAGAGGAAAGTGAAGCCAGTGACTGTCATGCTGCGAGTTATTGCGGCAAGACATCTTTGCAAATCTGGGCGAGGTACAGCCAGTCCTTTCGTCGAGGTGGAGATTATTGGCGCTGATTATGACAGTGGCGTCAAGTTGGTCACCAAAACTGTCAGTGAGTATTCTTTCTGTCTACCCTCTGTAGATTAATTGAGTGAATGTGTTTTTACATTGCGCGTATGAATTATTGCTATTTATCGTATTCGTGTTGCGTTTTCTTAATAAAATCCTCTAATATGCGTTTGCGAGGACATTTATGATTGCGAACGATTTAGCCAGATGTCGCTGCAATGTAAATTTTCACATTATCGGTAAACTAATTAAAATAAAATATTCTCATTTAAAACTTATAGAAATTACATTTAACTAAACTTAAGAAGTAGATAAAATGTATTGCTAAATTATCTTGTACTAACTGTTGCTCGCGACTTCGTGCGCAAAAAACTATGTATGCTATGCTGTGACAGATTTTTTTAAATCGACCTAGTATTTTTTGAGTTATTTTTATCGCTTTCACTATTTTGTTATTCAATATGATTAATATTTTTTAGCTGACAACGGAATCAACCCGATATGGAACGACATATGCGAATTCGACGTCGCGAACCCCGATTTGGCTCTGATTCGTTTTTTAATTCAAGACGAGGATATTTTTGGGGATCCAAATTTCATTGGACAAGCGACGTATCCACTGAAATGTTTACGCACCGGATATCGCAGCGTCATATTGACCAACGGTTACTCTGAAGAATTGGAATTATCTTCACTTCTCGTGCATATAACTATTATGCCGAGTCGCTTACTTTCTTTGCCTTAACACATCGAATGCCGCAGACACGCAAGACCGAAAAAAACACGGCGTAGAATTTGTTAATTTTAAACTGGCAACTAATATTAATGCTTTATTTTATTATGTTCCTCACAAGTAATCTACAAACTCCACTGGTACTACTTTCCTATTGAAATTAAGTGCAAATCTATTGAAAAATGTAGTATGCATACGCTAATTGAATCCTATTTACGTATTTTTTAAACTACTTTATAATTTCATTATTTTACACTGTAATTTAAGCGTAGATTTTTTATTACATTTTTTTAAAGGATATTTTTATGAAATAAGCATCTTCTACATATTTCTCTATTGAGAATAAACTATACATTTTTAAGATTTCATTTATGATAATAATTCTCGAATTTCGAATCTTTATTAAATGCATTTAACTGAGGTATGCAACTTACAATATATATCTATATATACTTAAAAAAAATAACAAGGCACTGCGATTAGGTAGCTTATATTTGAGTCAAAACGTGAGTTAAAGTTTTGTGCTTAGCTTTTAGTTGTAATATTTCTCCTAAATTGAATATTGCATATAAAACTATTTTAATATCAAATTCGCGTTATTAACGTGATATTATTCACATTATTAATATAATTAGTGCCTCACTGAACTTTAAAACGTCATTCTATTGCAATGATAAATGAATTTATATAAATTAGATCGTTAGACTTGATAGTTGAGACTGAATAACTATGAAAGTAATAAAATAAACGCACAATAAGCAAAAGTATACTATTGAGACTGAAAAGTTGTAACAAAATACATCACATTCGATGTTTCCCGTTGGGCCGATCAGCAATACAATAAGCTCAAAAGGAAACCTTTTTACTTTTAAATCTTTTTAAATTATAAATTTTTTTTCATATTTCTGCGTATCTACATCACAATTTTTAATGCAAATATAAATTTTTGGGTCTGTATGTTAGAAATAATGCATTTTTATATTATAGTGCTATTTTCACATTATAAAGTCGACCTAACAGTATTTTGTCTTACAATTTTTGCTATTTATCTTTATAATTATGATGTTACAATTTTAAAATGTTGAAAATGTAGAATAGTTATACTTCTGGTTAATAAATCGTTTTTAAAATAATTGTATTAAGCCACAAAAATAGTCCTATAAGGATCTTATGGAGTTTTGTTAACTTTAAAAGGGGGGCTGCTAGTTTTTAGTTTTAGTAAGCAAAGATTACCAACTTCTTACAAAATTCTCCATATTAACAAAACCAAATTATATGATAATGATTTGCAAATTATTATTTCTGTAGTTCTTATTATATATTTAAATTGATACTTCACAAATTAATGCAGTTTTAATTTTATCCAAGCAAATACGAGGTGCATTTATACATTTTTGTTCAGTATTAGTTCTTTTTGGAATTTCAGTTAAAAATTACATTCACCCGTGCAGTTGCCGCTCCCTCATTGGTCAAAATATGATGCTTTCAAAATTATTTAGTTTACAAAATTGCCAACTGCCATAAGATCCTTGTATGTCTATATAAGTTGGATAAATTTATAATGTTAATGATTGTGTGTAACACGTTTACAACATGACCTCTCCTTAACCTTTAATAATTCAACAATATATTTATATACGTGTTTATGTATTGTAGTTTCACAATTGTTATGACATGGTAAATCACAATTTATAACAAATGAATAATCACAAATATTCACAAATATGAGTATAATTTGAATCTTCTTGATCCATAAATAAATAATGTTTTAATACCTTATACAGGGTGATTCTTAACGGACGGATCAACGGTTTAGTAGACTTAGAGGACCTCAATAGGTATCGTTTTAGCGCAAAGTATGTTGCTTAATTTCCTATAGTTTTGAAGTTAATTATTTTTTTGTAAAATAAATCTGAAAAATCTGATTTCCGACAAAAAATAGCCCGTACGTCCAAAATAATGTGTTAACAGTGGTGATTTCTTCCTTTAATAAGCCTAATAATTGGGCTTTAGTACCACTGTCCCTTTTTTGGATTAACTCACACGAGAACTAAATAACAAATGGTTATTGAAAATTTTCTTCAAACAAAATTTCTTTCTACGCACGTCTGCAGTACACCGTCACAGCGGCTACCAGCCTCGCGTCATTTAAAGACAAGCTTAAGTCATGGCTAATACAAAAAAGTCTTCTATAGTGTCGAAGATTTTTTCCTACCATGATTGTTTTATATATAATGTTCACTCAAAATATCTGTTAAGTTTAATATTCTGACTTGTAATTCGCTTACCAATAAAATATTTGAATTTGTGGCTATTGTGGTCATCTAACTCCACTTAACCGTTGATCCGTCCGTTAAGAAACACCCTGTATACCAATTCTATTTTAAGTATAATTCTTAATATTTAAACACGCTAAATACCATCGACTTGTCTCGCGAGTTGTCTTTCATACGTAAAAATGGTATTGGCATGTTACGTGTTATTATAAGCGTATAGTATTAAATATACAAAAGCGTATTATCACTACGTAAAATATAATTTTATGGAGTTATCACATAAATTAGTTTTTAAAACTGAACAAAAATGATCAACAATTTTCAAACGTACACAAGTTTCTTTATTATTCGTAGATGTTTCTAAGATATTATTAGATAGAATATATATTTAGACATATAGATGAAAAATAATAGCATAATATACGACTGCAAATTGTGTTAAGATTATATAATTTGTGTTACAAATATTGTTAGACATCAGTGGTTTTATAGGATTTCTATAAATATACACATTTCTATAAAGATACATCATTGTTCGGCATTAACTGGCATGCCAGTAGCAAGTAGTAGTAAAACAGTTAATTCGATCCCATTATAGTTTGTCTAAATAAGGTAGATTAGTTTGACAATTCGTTTGACAATTTAGTAGGGATGGTTGTGATAAACCAAGCATGAATCTTTTTGATTTTTAGTCTCATAGAAGTTAGAGTCGATAAATTCCAAGTTATACCTTTTGATTTAAAAAAAAAAACACTTTTCTCAAATTCATTATGACCTGCAGAACCATCACAAGTAATGCGAGTAAATAAATTCTTATTAGTACTACTGCCGTACGTAATCGAATTGGATTTCGCTATTATTAATGTAATCGATAAATTCTCTACACTATTAACAATAATAGAATTATCATCTAAATTATTTAATAAGAAAATCCAAATTTTAGTTAAGTTCGATAAATTTTATTTAAACCAAATATCGATAGTTCATAATTGTTCGCTGTGCGTGTTTGTTTCGTCACTACTATATATGCATTTGGTTCATATACATTTAATTCGATACTTCATATGCGTCATTTATCAAACTAATCTATCTTATTTAGACACTATAGTTCCATTTTTAACCACCGCCAATAATTGCGACAGTCAGCGCCTGACGAAAGTGAAATAGCACAAAGTAGCACCCCTTATAACCTATCCATTTGCATCAACAATGCACTAAAACATTTATTCATCTATATATTTTATGCTATTATTGATTTTGAATAATTTATGTTATCTAATAAACATCAACAATTATGTAAGTTGAAAAACCGTGACTTTTATTTCATCCTTTTTCTTTGATAGACTTTTTGTTACTGTGGTGGGTTACCACTACTGTCACAGTGTATTCACACATATCGTCTATTATTTTCAAGATTATTGTGAAAAAACACCACCTCAGCATATCTCTCTTACAAGTATAACTTTTTGCGTTATTTTGTAATTTATAGATTATGTTTACGTAAACGTTTCGTTCGCTCGCGACTTCGTCAGCGTAGAATTAAAAACAAAACAAAAGTGAATAGTCTATGTGTTCTTCCAGACTATGCTCTACATCGATAATGTAATTTCATCGAAATCCGTTCGGTAGTTTAGGCTACAAACTCTAACAAACATCCATCCATCCATCTAAACTTTCGCATTTATAATATTAGTATATATGATTTGTAATCATATAATAAATGGGGGAAAAGCCATAAGTAGGCACCAGATTCAAGTATTCAGTATATCTGTCAATTCTTTTATACATCATTGTCAAGAATTAGGGTTATCGCACATTGCACCACTCCTAGCCCATTCGCAACAGTCACGCCTCGCAATCATTGAAGCACTCGCCACTGCATCTCCGTCACCTCGACGCCTTCCATTTAGCAGGAATAAAATAAATTAGAATGACTACTTATGGTTTTGAACAAACCAGCAACACGATATTTATTGATTTTCTTGATTAAGACAGTTTTATTTCGCTATATGTAAGAACAAACACCAAAGATAGGTATGTATATGGTTGAAAATACAAAACAATCTTGGTAGCTCAGCGATTTAGTATGCAAAGCATTTTAAAATAATAACTCCTTAGTTATGTCCTGAATTTGATTCTCAAGAATCAGAAATTGTTTTTTCGGTGTGTGTGTGTGTTTTTTTTGTATTCGTAAAGATATTTAGTAACTGTTTCCATGCCGGTTGCAATGGCGTACGCAGATCTTTCGGCACCACACCGACTAGATTTGGACCACTCCGCTTTCCATCTTCAGGGTCACTCACCCTTAATAAAAGCTGCTAGGCCGATTTCAAATTCTTTCATCATTGAATAGCTGCGTTATTTATGAGTAAAATAGTCTATGTTATAAACTAAGCGACTAGTAGTTACACTTCAATCCTGTGGGTTTTTGTACCGCTAATATTCTTTATTGCATTTTTTAATTTATGTTTTTGTCCAATAAATAAAAAAGAAATCGTTTCCTTAGCGGTCACCGCCGTCACCTCAAATTTAGAAGTACCTAAGTTGAGACGTTTTAACCTAATATTTAGTTTATAGTCTCAATAGATAATGATATGTAGGTAATCAAATGTTATATTATAATTGGCGAACGAGTAAAAGATGTTGGAATTTAATCTGGCGACTATACTTATAGTTTGGTAATCAGTACAAGTTTATAGTTCGTGGCAACGAAATGATAGATGTGCTGTTATCCTTATTATTAACAAAACTTTTCAAAATCGTATGAATATCATAAATTCCTTAATTGAAAACTAGATCGTTTAATGTTTTTTAACGCCCAGTTATTGATTTAATACTTTTAATAAAAAAATTAAATCCGAATCAGTTAATCGAAGAATAACAATTAGACATCTGGCAAACACAAATTAACGGAAATCTACGCTTTGTCTTTGATTATGTGCAAGATTGCATTTTGCGAACGCCCTCCATCGTGCTTGCAAAATGTGTTCACTTGGTGGCGTGCGCCTCAGAGGGTTAACACGTTAGTTAATCAGGAAATTCATCAGTCGACAGTCCACAGCATTTCTTCAATCCTGAGAAGAGAATATAAGAATTGGTGAGTATACTTTAATTGTTATGATATATTTCATTTTATTTCCTGTTGATTTAAACACGAATGACGTCATATCTAGACTTCTCATTGTTCCAATAAGACAAAGTAAAGGAACGATAGAGGATCCACGTGTGATATAGCCGTTGCTTTGTAGTTAAGTTTTAGTTATGCACATTCCTGAATTAGTAAGAGCTAACGGACATCTCAGATTTTGCCACGTGCCATGTGGTTATGCTATAATCTTCACTAAGCATGGCATATCACGTGGAGTCTTAAAGCTGATATTGTAAGTAGAATTAATTACACTTCATAATTATAATAAGAAACCTGCTGAATATGATATTTGACCTAATGCTTTTGCTCTGACGCAGGAATTCTTCATTGCATTGAGAAGCAACACGTGGAGGGGAACAATTGCGGTAAGGAATTATCGTCTACGTTGTTCGAGTACGGCTGTGGCGAGCTGTTGCGGCTGATGCACTTTGAGGGCATTTGTCACGTCCACCAAGTCAAGCAACATGCATTAGCGATCAACTCTTGGTGAGTCTTTATTATCATGTCTATCGTTGTAAACTTCCTTCATTTAACGTGCCTTGTATCTTCTTTTTAAACAGTTTCATATATATTTGATTAAATGTTCAGTTAAATTGAACTTTGAACTTACCACGTGGCAAGTTCAAAGTTCGATCGTAGTATTTGTTGATTGTAAATCAGAATAAAGTTAGTGTTTAAATTAAAAGTCACATTTTGACTATGAAAAGTCATTCACACAAAAGCACGTGGCGTACCTAATTCTTATTGAAATAAGAAGATGAAATTTATTCTTATAAGACTTATAACAAAGCTGCAACGTGTTTGTCAAATTGTTGTCAATTTGTAGTATAATTTGTAAGGTATATTGGGCACATAGTTACATGTGTCTTCCTTTGGGCGTTGCTTACATGGCACATTGCTATTGCATGATGCAAGCGGCGGCCATCTTGTCAATGCAATTGCCTACATGGCACATTGCTCATGCATGATGCAAGCGGCAGCCATCTTGTCAACGCAACCATGCCTTTGTTACATCAGCATTATTTGTCACGTATCTTGTTTTATAGTTAGATACTACTTAGGGTTAAAAATATTTTTTGATTTCAATTGTATGCAAATAAATACAATATTAACAACAATGTAACTAATTTCCTTGATCGAAGGCAGATATTAGTTTTCCATTTGGCGCTGTGCTTTTACATTTTTCCCGCCCTTTCCACATTCATTCATATGCTCCATCTTTTGATTGTTTTATTTCTATCTTTTATTGTGTAAATAACCGGAATATACTCGTATGTGTATTTTGCGAGTTGACGAGCTTTGTTTGAATGTAGTCCATAGATAATTATAAAATCTTTTAATTAATTCTTATATAACCGTTTCCATACGTGACTAAAATAATCGATAAATTCACTACTCGAAAAAACTATTTTCATTAGATATTAAGCGAATATTATGCTTATTTTTTGGGCACCAATCTGAACAATGCTTAAACTGGCGGTAATAGGTGCGTTTACATTATACTAAATTGTATTTTATGTTTTAGATGTTTGTGAAGATAACCTGCCGCTGTTTCTTGAAGTCAAGAAATAGTGCACGTTCTGCAAACTGGAGGACAGATTGTTGACAACGGGTAATTAATAATATTTTTTGTTACTGTTAAAGTTTGAATGAAAAAGAAATAAAGGAAATTAGATGGATATCCTTGGACCCAAAATAATTTCATTTAGTTGAATTTCTCCTTAAATTCTATTGTTTAGATTGACAACGGACAAGAATCAGCAAGAATTTAAGATCTGCTCATAACATTTCATTAACATTAAACTCTCTTTTGTGTATCGTCCAAGACTATTGTGGCACCTTTTTCACATTGAAAGGAGGGCGCCTCTGCGCATTTAGGGTTACCAACAAGTTAATGTTTCCACATTTAAGGAAAATCCTTCCGTTTAGAAAAGAAAACGCAAATTGTAAAGAAAGTATTAGTACCTTACAATATAACTAGAAAATTAGAGCTTATCTAGAGAATAATAGATATCTTAATGATTGTTGTTTACAACCAACTGAACTGACAAGAACTGAAGTGAACTGACAAGCTATGTCACTATTCCCCTGACATTAAATATCATTTGTTTATTTCATAACATTGTCTGCTGCCAAAAGAAACTGGTATATCTATATAAAATATTTACCTATTATGATGATAACGTCAAAAGACGCATTATACCATAGATAATACATATATATACTGAGATAGATGCGACACGGCCGTTTCAGTTTTTTATTTCCTCGCCTTGTTCAAGAGATGGCGTATAAGTGCTGCGCTCACCCACACACACGCACACACCCACACACACACTTCAAATGTGTATATTTACATATATAAGGATAAGTGTAAATATCTGCTAAAATAGAAACCCAAAGTTGGTATTAAATTTTATTGCGTAACCCAATTGGTTATATATCATACATTTACATATGTCCATTTTCAATAGTGACGTCCTCGAACAGCGTTTTCCAGATTTTCAATATTTCTATTAAACGGCCAGTCTTGGTGAAACGATGCAGAGAACCTGAAAGCATAACAAATTTTACCATACAACATATTATACGCTACTAATTACCGTCCTCAGTTTCACTCGCGTAGCAAACTGTGCATGAGTGAAGCTGCGAGCAGTTAGTACTTTTAAACATTGTGACAAGGCACTAACAACGCAGCCTGACTGAGTTATAATTTTTACTATAGTATGGGGTACTAATTATCGCCCGCTGATTATGTAGTCACCAACCTCTAATTCTAAATTATATCATTAGGACAATTTGTTCAAATTCGTAAATCACATTGGTACATGGCAGGATTCGAATCAGGACCTGCAGATTCCAAGTCAAGATACTTGACCCCTGAGCCAACTAAGCTCATAGGCATAGAAAGGCAACACTCACATCAGACTACTATTAAATAGTTCCAATTTTTCCCATTTGAATCTAGTATATCATGAACTTTGATTTAACTTGTTACTTGCTAATAATGTTCATCATAAAATCACTGGCACAAACCTGCCGCAAAGTTAAGTTTTTAGTGACGTTAAAACTGTACACGTTTCAATACAACTTTTTTTCTGTCGATGTAGATATTTTCTGTAATAATAAGTATTGTTATAATTTTCCGCTACAAGTAATCTAAATTAACTATGATTACTACATTCTACAGAATACAATTTCAGTTATATTACAAAGTCACCTTACAATCGAAATAACAATTATCGCGGGCTTTTGGGCACATCAGATATTTTCTTTAGTAATTCATTTATTTATTTATAATTAATTTTAGTCGTTTTTAGTTTTGTAAAATTTGTGACGTTTATACGTAAAAACTATTTTTGCTTTTAATTTTGACACAATATTGTGCTGCTATCAAAGAGTTTTGTAGCTATTAAGAGTAACTGGTTTTTAACGCCATCTAGTCTTAATTTAAACGTTTTAAATGACTAAGTTTCCTAGACTTCTCTACTAGATGATGTTGATTACCGTGCCAAGTTTTTTTCAATCATATTGTATGGCAGTGTCACCCCCCTGATTATACAAATGCTTCATGAAGCTAGCTGCAGTTTTCCTGAGCTTCGTCGTCATAGGGAACTTATTTTAGCATTCACTCTCCTTTTAATAACATAATAAAGAAGAATGCTGACAACTTATAATTTCTTTATTATATATAAAAATACCGTATATACTACAAACAGTTTCATATTATAGGATACTTCTTTGCGTTTTTCAGATCCTAATCTTCAAAAACATCGAGTAGAGACGCTGACTGCTTACCCAGATTTGTGTCGTCTGGCGTAATTATGACGAGCAGAATGAAACACAGAAAAGAGAAATTATCAGGTGATGTCGATTCAAGTTTGCGATAGTTGTTAATTTTTAGGTTTAAGTAAGTTGTAAATAATTATTTCGTAATTTGAAGAAGCGATTTCGTGTTTTCTGTAGAGTTGCCACAGGATGTGCAGTATTTTCTTCAAAGTTAAATGCAAATTTCCAAATCAATATTTTTTTTCCTTTCGGTTGTTCAGTAGAGTTTAGAATATTACTTTCAATGGAGTCTTCATCTCACAAAAACGTACGAGCTACCATAGAGTCGAAATATTCTGTAAATTGTTAAATAAAGTCATCCAAATCGTCATGTAATGAAATCGCTTCTTTTTCTTCAGTATTATTATTATTACCCTTAAATTGTTATGTAGAATTATTGTTTTAGAATCTAATTAATTTATAGTACATTAATTTAAGAACCATTATGAATTTATCAAATAGTATAGTGTGTAATATTTAAGTAAATGTAGACTATTTTATTCATTTGATATATTTAAAGTGCTAAAAATATGGCTGTGCAACCTCTCTACGATCCATTTCAATTTACCGAATAATTCATATACCAGTATGTTTTCCCATTGCTAAATTATAATAACATTTGAATTTGAGTAAATTTTCCGCTACAATTTTTATAACCGATACACAACCACTACATTAATACACCATTTAAAATTACATTGGAAATTTGACGCATTAAGAAATTGTTACAAAACTGGACCTCCCTTCAGTGGGTTCATCTGTCCGATGAATACGGGTACGCGACCCCGAAGACCACAGCTGTCGCTAATCTCCCATCTCCTCGCCGATTAGCGACATCCTAAACCCTTTATTCCTATCAATTCTTTCCATCATATCCTTTCCCACATCCCTCTGTTGCCCACCCAGTGGCGACGAACGATACATCACAAGAACATCACAGTAGTAACAAACATCACAACATCATTGTCACCGGCAAATTGTGTACCTCGCCCGTTTGTAATTTGCCCTGGTTTGTAAATTCTCTGCAATATGTATATCGAAAAGGTTAATTCACACAATGTTATATTTCGACAATTTATACAGCTAACATTTCATTGGTAGGAGTTTTTAATTTTTTTAACACGCGGCAGTTTGTAATTCTTTTTAGGAGTTAGTAAATTAAAGCTAATGAAGTGTCATCTTTAAAAATTGTTGAAATGTAATAGAAATTATGTAACGTCAAATCGTGGAGTAATTCGTTCTATATGCAAGTTTTCCACGTCGTTTTCCCAGGGCAAATTAGAAACGGGCTGGCGTATATGTTTTGCCGGTGACATCATTATCACAAATGGATTAACGTATACATCACAAATATTTACCTCATAAACTAAGGATTAGTTATGTATGGTTATCGTGCACTTAAAAGCACTCTACCTAACTAACAGCGCCTCTTCTCGCGTGCGAACTGCGTGTGACTCTGTTCTTTTAAGTGCGTGATAACCTTAAATTTTGTTGTATGGTTTTAGCTATTTTTAATGACTTTTTACTCTTATTTACACGCTACATACACTCAGTTCTAACTGAACTGTCGAACTGTTCAGTTAAAACTGTGTGTCTGTTGGAAAAGTTTCATTTGTTGAGCTCCTCAGTTTATAAAGCTAAAGTAACATAGTAAAGAATCAATAAAGAAAGCGAAAAAGATATAACCAATGTTTAGCATATGGACTATTATTGCAATTTTAACATCACAATTTAAGATTTACCATTTAAACATTTAACATCACTTTTTGTGCAATAGATTTACACCAAATTGTGTTCATTATGTCATCCAAGTGGCCAGGGTGACGACGATCATATCATCACAAGATAAACATCACAATAGAAATAAATATTATTTTTCAATATTACAAATATGGATTAACAAACGTCATATTCTTTTTCATCATAGGTAAAGGCAAATGAAAGAGTCTCAATAGTAATATAGATATATTATCACACTATAGTAATATGATATAACCGTCACATTTTGAGTAATAAATCTACATTGTAATATATTTCATAATAGGATAGACACAACAAATATTAAGCATAATGAATAGTGTAATAATTTTAATACAATTTATAAATCAAGCAATTATCATCACAATGTAAGTAATGGGGCAATAATACAAGGAATATCTAACATCACATTATAGTAATATATTATGAACATCATAAAAAGCGCTTCCATCACAATTTGTTAAATAAATGAACATCGCTTAAACATTTCATCACAGATTATTTTTAATTACACAGTTCACATCACAATGTAAGTAATGGAGCAATAATACAAGGAATATCTAACATCACATTATAGTAAAATATTATGAACATCATAAAAAGTGCTTACCATCACAATTTGTTAAATAAATGAACATCGCATAAATATTTCTTCACAGTTTTTTTTTTAATTTACACAGCTATCATCACAATGTAAGTAATGGGGCAATAATACAAGGAACATCCAACATCGCATTATAGTAATATATTATGAACATCACAAAAAGTGCTTACCATCACAATTTGTTAAATAAATGAACAGCGCTTGAATATTTCATCACAGTTTTATTTAAATTACACAATTATGATCACAATGTAAGTAATGGGGCAATAATACAAGGAACATCCAACATCACATTGTAGTAATATATTATGAACATCACAAAAAGTGCTTACCATCACAATTTGTTAAATAAATGAACATCGCATAAATATTTCTTCACAGTTTTTTTTTAATTTACACAGCTATCATCACAATGTAAATAATGGGGCAATAATACAAGGAACATCTAACATCACATTATAGTAATATATTATGAACATCACAAAAAGTGTTTACTATCACATTTTGGGAAATAAATCAACATCGCATAAATATTTCATCACAAAAAAAGAAAAATTAGACCACTCTTAAGCATAATAAGTAATATGGGTATTTTATCAAAATCATGAAATTATACAGTTATCATCACAATGTAAGTAATGGGGCAATAATACGAGTAACATCTAACATCACACTGTAGTAATATATTATGAACATCACAAAAAGTGCTTACTATCACATTTGGTTAAATAAATGAACCTCGCTTAAACATTTCATCACAGTTTTTTTTAATTACACAGTTCACATCACAATGTAAGTAATGGAGCAATAATACAAGGAATATCTAACATCACATTATAGTAATATATTATGAACATCACAAAAAGCGCTTACCATCACAATTTGTTAAATAAATGAACATCGCTTAAATATTTATAGATAATTTGACAAGTCTTAAGCATAATAAGTAATATGTGTCATCACATTTCGAGCAATAAATCAACATAGCATAATTTTAGGATAAGGAAAATGACAAAATTATATGGCATAATAAGTCAAAATGGTTTTATATCACAATTTTAAAATCAACGAATTATCATCACAATGTAAGCAAAGGATTAACACAAGAAACAACTAACATCACATTTTAAAGTAAATGTTTCTTCATAGGATAAGGAAATAAACTCAACAAATCATGAGCATAAATAACAAAGGTTACGACAAGGTTATCACAATTTAAAAATCAAGTAATTATCATCACAATGTAAGTAATAGTACAATGACACGAGAAACATATAGCATCACATTAAAGTAATATATTATTACCATCAAAACAAATGCTTATCATCACATTTTTGTAAGAAATCTACATAGCAATATTGCATCGTCCGAAAAATAAAAATAGACAAATCTTAAGCGTAATAACTAACAGAGCCATTTTAACACAATTTTTAAAATCAGTTAAATATTTTATAGGTTAATATTAAAATTATTATAATACGTAATGGATAAATCATCACAAAATATATTGGAACTTATACAATTGACATTAAATGGCCAACAAATCAAATATTTGGCATCGCATTTTGGGTAGTAAATCGACCTTCACTTACCACATATTTTTAGGTGTATATAGTAGTGTGGTATACCAAAACAGGCTTAAGAAATTAAAAAAAAACAATTGTTAAGCATTAATACTCGTGGTATATAGGTTTTCACACATCTTACATAATTTGGATAATTATCATTGCAATGTAGCAACAAAGTAAAACACAAAAAATTAACATCACAATTATGGTGTCATGTGGTTATCACATCACACCAAATGCATAAACATATTATGTTTATCCATTCGGTCATGCATCACAACCTTAAAATCGGTACTAGATCTAAAACTTAAAATACTCATCATAAAAGTAAAGGATTAAATATCTCAATATTAGTTATAACATTTGGGTAGCACATAAATAATTTAAACAAGAATCTAACCTTAATTTAAAAAAAAAAAACAAAATCTCGCCAGCCAGAGGCTCTATTACATGATACGGCGCCATCTATCAGCTGAATTTTAAAACCACCTTTCAGAATTTCACGATATACTTGAAAAATACAACAAAATTTGTTACAGTGAATTTGATTTTAAATTATTTTTGTTCACTATTTTTTTTAATTTAGTTTGTCACGGTTCACTGAGTTCACTGTACATATGTATTTTGTGTCCATGCTACGTACCCTTTGACCTACGAGAAAGAATTTAAATATCACAGCAATCGTCGAAATCGATTTACCCATTTAGGGTCTAATCCAACACTATTGAATTTAAATATGTACAAACCCACATACATAAAAATGAACATACGCGAGAATATAACACCCTCTTTGTTGCTAGAGTAAATATATAACCCTCTTTTTTAGTTAGTTAATTAGTAGGTCTACATCGTCCAATACACAAACATCAACTGCTATTCGATCACAATTCTCCACTCACTAAATTTTAATGATCCATCTTGCTTGCACATGCCGTATTCTACTAGTAATTATTAATTGTAATTTTATATAGGAATGTACTATAATACTCAATTTAATTCTTTTTACTTCCGTATGTATTAGAAATAAACTTTATAATTAATAATGTGTTTTATTTTTATTTCATTAAAAACTGTATCTTCACATCGTGTTTTTATTCAAATGTTTTGGCCATTTTCCGATGTTGAAGAACGATGCTACTGCTATAAAATCGAATAAGAATTTTCTTTCACTTCCTTGTAACCTTAACCCATAATAAGCACAAAGATATTTATAGCATTGGTTGCATTTGAGTCAATAACGGGAGTCAAGGTGGAATATTGCTACGTATATTTGCTATCAATGTCAACAAAGATCAACAACGCTTCTTATTTCATGGTCCAAATATATGATATAAATTGCAACTAATCAGGGCAACTACTACATAATGTTTAATACAAAAAAGTTTTCGTTTGGTCCAGTTTTTTATAAAAAAAAGTAATAACATTAACGTTAACCCTATCTAATTTGTTTAGGATAA